AAATTGCAAATTCCTCGCACATGTAACATCTCCATTGGGCCAAAATGCACCGATATCAATACCTCATATGTTACTTGGTTCCTCGAAAATTCTCCTCTTGGACTTAGCCTAAAAGTGTGGACACTTTTTAGCCTCCGGCGAAACCTAGAGTCTATACGGCTTCGCCGCACGACTAAAAAAGAGGGTGATCGATACGGAGCTTTTTCTAATCATGGGTAATGAGCAGGCGCATTCAAAAACTTTTCACTTACTGGTGGGCTTTGGGACAGGCTGCAAGTTTCTGGTTTCACAGGCGCCGCAAATGCGTCTGGTGTCATGAGGTTGAGTGCTTGCCCAGATGTGTGATTTGCACTGGTAAAATCTTGTGCTGATTGAATGACTTGCTCTGATATATCAACTGCAGGCAATGTTGGATCTTCCTCTTTGGGCACTAAAAGGTTAAAAAATAATGATAAAAAATTATATAAGTAGAATTTATCACAAACTGATAGATTGGTATGCAAGAAATCCAGATATCCATAGAGACCTTGGTATTGAGACGGTCTCACAATATATTACCAAAATCGCAACAAATTACGAGCGACTTCTCCATTCCCATCCCAATATTGAGGCAATTTAACTCCTAGATAACAGTAATGAATACAGACGCCTCAAAAGAGTAAAACCAAGGGAACTGGCCAGCTCCCTGGTCTGACCCTTTAATTTTATTACTTCATATTGTTTCACGTTAATAAGTTACGAACTTCTTGGTTGTTTGTACATTCATACTTATTTTATATTTATTAACAAAGTGTATATTTCCATGTACAAGGAAGCTCACTAAAAACTAATAAAAAAAAAAAATAAAAAAAACTTATAAATACAAGTATTCCTGTTCCAGATTTGGTACTCAAATTAAACATGTTAATCCCGTGCTAAGCGAGAAATTATAGAATCGCTTCACTTCTCAATGGACTACTGGACAAGGTTCAAATTCAAGTATTCTGATAGATGTTTCCTTGTTAAAATTTCACACCAAACAAGATTCGCGCATGAAATTCACTGAAATGAGCTCCTGACAAAAGCATTTAATATTTTCCTATACGTCAATTCCAGCCTTCCTGCATGTGAAAAAACAAGAGTTTACGTTAGCCAGATCGCACAATAAATGTTGCTGAAACAATCTCTGCAGTATGAAAATAGGGCGACCTCAATCTCGGTGCTTTGGCTCGGTTAGGGCATGTAATTAGCACTTAGGACAACACAAGGCAGGGAAGGAACATTGCTCCATTAATTAGACCGTCAAATCCGTTGTAAAGATCGGTTTGATTCGAGTAGACTGTTGTTTTTCTTGTGGAAAATTGTGGAATGGAGAATTCAAATTGCCTGTGACCAGTGTAAACTAAGAATATTTATATGTTACTCTGGAGTTAATTTAATCAATATTGTTACCCGAATTAAGTTCTACACAAAATTTGAATCAGGAAACATACATTGTAATGGTATAATTCGTACCTTGTTTCGTGGTTCATTCCGAAGTGAACTTATGATTCTTTGTATGTATGTATAAAGTCGCTTTTATAGCGCTCTTTGGCGCTCTGCGACCCCTAGCCGCCAAAGTCCCCTATCCTCCCAAAGCCCTTCAGGGAGTTGACAAACCCTCATGATTCTTTGTTATGCATCAAAAATTTGCTCTTAACATATGCAAAGTGGAAAACAACCCAACAGTCACTTGGTTGTGGATTATTCGGCTTTTTCCGATAAATAGAATGAACTATCTCAAAATAATGAGACACTCCCGGGTAAATTAGACCTTCTTGGTACTCCAAAATAAAAATTCCTTTGCCCAACAGAAGCACTTTATTGTATTTTGAATGTGGAGAATATGTTGGCTGAAGAGTAAAGAGCGAATAAATTGTGTTTGAGAATTGAACAGGTCATGTCCGTGATTCTCACATGTGTTGCTAGAGCCTCCTCTTTATTGACTCTCTTCATGTTGCGCCTGTTTCTTTCCGGCACCTTCAAATATATTCTGGTCTCTTTATCACAAGTAAAGTGCTGTATGTTTTGACCATTCAGCTTAGATTAATCGTGGAAATTGGACACTAAATGGCGAATTAGGCTTGTTTGCAAATTCTAGACCTTTCCTTGACTAAGAGAGCAACAGTTCTACTACTTTAAAAGCACCTTAAGAATACTAACAATCACATACCATAGATTTTTATGAATCAGCACATAAACTTACAAAAATCTTCCTGGGACAGAGAACAAAGCACATTCGATGTTTCAGGCTCGTTGGAGACAGGTGGAAAGATAATGTGACAGTCTTGCAAAGACTTAGGCTGGACTAAATACATTCGCACAACAACAACTGTGTTTTCATCTCCTTCACATTCTTCAAGATCTCCTGGGTTGTTAACAAGAGGAAAACAAATTAAGAGCTTGATTCAATTAATTTTCCTGTTGCTGATACAAACTTGATTAAATTAATATTTTTAACAGGTTTTTCACTATTAAAGTCTGAGTTCCTGAGAGGAACCACAAAATGATGAAAATAGATGTTGATGATTAATATGCATCATGACTGACTCCTTTCATTTCAGGGGATATCTGAGTATCCCAAAATCGCCTTTTCTTGTCCTGTGTTTGCTATTCTCTTGAATTTTCTGGATCTCTCTTGGTTGTGAACGTAAAATAACAAACGGATGATGATTATTGAGGAACACTGATTAAGGTACAAGTTCTGTGTCCGATCGGATTATGAAAATGAGTATTAAAATAGTATGAAATGAATGAGTATAAAATTAGAATTAATATAATTATTTCATTATTGGTGTGTATGCAAGCATAACATTAAATATTTCAGTTTTGCTTTAACGCACTTTTGCTAATCACGAGTTTTCATCTTTTGTCATCTACATTCTGTTGAGGAATCCAGTTTTCTGCGCTATTTTCTTGCAAATTCCTACTTGAGGGATTTAGTAAAAATGGGATTTTTCTCACCAGAGATTTTGGTACTGACAGATTATGACATGCAGGATTTCTGCACACCAGATTTTGGCCATGGGATTATGTCAGCACACCCTTCGTAAATTCTGAGGATTTGTTGTAATGACATTCATTTAATCAAAGAAGTAAGGCAATTGAAATGCAAATGGTATGATACAAACAGGAGAATAAAACAATACGAACCATTCCCATTGCATAAGTCGTCTAAAACAAAGGTGCTATCTGCTTTGACTTTTTTCTTCCCAGCATCAACAATGTCAAAACTAAGAACAGCTGTTGGAACAGTAAATTCCGATACAGAAATCAAGAAAGTTGTTGTTTTTTTGCAGTTCATGAATATTTCAAAGACATATAAGACCTGAGGAAAGAAAGAGAGGTAACTAGGTAAATCACAGGAACTTTAAAAATATAATGATTACATAATAAAACAGGAGGTCATTTTAAGCTATTGACATGCATGAAAAGAATGTGCGATCTTGCACTTAAAAATTTACAGGTAAGCTGGATACATTAGGGTGCCGCTCATTTCAATAAAATGAGCTGATGAATTGACGTTCTGTGCACGAGCAAACGTTCTAGGACGTTTTACAATTTTTATAACACTTAGAGGTTCAAACTCTTATAGCCTTTTTCAAAGAAAAACCAACTTTGAAAAAGACCCTCCAAAAGACTTAATTCCAATGGAAAGAAATTGTATTTGTTTTCTGATTTGCCAGCAACAAGTGCACCTAGTTTGACCTCATGTTGACATTAACAAAGATAAAACATCAGAAAACCAGCTAAATACAATTATAAGGTTGGAGTACTCACTTTTAATTGGATGTCTGATAGAACAAGATAGTTAGCAGCAAGGTCAACGCTGGCTTTAAGTTGAAGCTTTGAATTGGTTGATGAGACAAAATTGATAGTCTGCAGACAAGTCCATGTTTCACAGGACCATACTTTCAATTCTGAATTATTTTCGGCTCCTGTGATGACAAACTTCCAAAATTGGATCCTAAACACACGTCCAGCACAAGATAAATAATTTTATCTTAAAATATATTTTATGGAATATGCGTTCCATAATAACAAGGTGGTGGAGTAGTGCTGGATCCACACTATTTTGCGGGGGGATCAAGGCCAAAAAATTCCAAAAATTTTCACTACACTTAAGAATTTGAACTCTAATGAGTATCAATGCAAGACTGAAGGGGAAAAGTGCTCAGCTCAGGCAGATGCATTGGAATACTACAATGGAGTCATGCCGAGCGACTTATTTCAATTTGGGTCTTTTTAAACCTTATCAGTAGATCACACTCGTCGATTAGCCTAGCTCAGCATATCACAGAACCCTACATGACATTGAAATAATATCAATTGATTAATGGCCATTCTAGATGTATGAGAGCATAAGGCCCCTTGAACCAGCTATATTAATTGTGCTTGCACTTCAATTCCAGTAAATTTGGAATGGTTTCAGCAAGTTGCGGCTATGACTGCTAAGATACATCCAAGATTTTTGGATTTGCTATTTTTTCTTTGCACATTAAGATCCATTTTCCATATGATGAGAGAAAGTGGGAACTAGCCAATTTTTTGAGTACCCTCAATGTTCAGTTTTAAAAGTAGATTCCTACTCAATGAGTCGACTTGTTAAAGTATTAATGGGAAAAAAATGATTAACCGATAGATACTTACTCTGGATTATATGATTTGTGATTGTCTAAAAAGAAGAGAGAGGATAATGGTTTCTTATCATGAGGAACCCACTGATGAAGACACCTTGGTTTTGTAGAATTGGCCATGTAAACCTGTAAATATTGGATGAAGTAGAGAAAAAGGCATAAAACTTAAAATCCTTTAGATAAAAAGACAGCACATAAAACATGGGGATTCAGAGCTGGCTAAATTTTCCTACTATTTGATAGGATGTTTTCTACGACCTCAGGGGCATGAGATCTTCGAAAATCAACCTTTCTGCGTGCAAATTTTGAGGGAAGCAGGTGGAAGAGTTTATAAGGCTATCAAGAAAAGTATCATGCTCTGGAAAGTGCAGCCTTCAAAAATTAGTGTTTGAAAGAGCAGTGCTCTCTGCGATTCTGTCCCTCTCTGCAGTGACCTTCATTATAATAAAAACTCTGCATAAAAAAGAAATCATAAAATTCCTTTAACTTCCTAAGTTCATTACATGTACTTTTTTTCTAATGTGCCTAATGTACAAGGCCTCCTACACCTCCCATTAATTGCGTTACACAGAAATCTAGAATGTTAGACCCCGCACTTATTATTCAGATCCAAACAACCATCCCCTCCTCTAGGGTGTGCCTTATTTTTGAGTTTTGCGAAAATCAAGTTGGTCAACCCCTAAAAAGTTTGAATGTAGTCTCTAAATGAACCCCCTAAAAGGAAAAAATTTAAAAAAAATTTTAACCCGTGCCTCAAAGGGCCTAAAGGGCCTAAACCCAAAATTCAAAAATTTTGGCAAGCGACACATCAATTCTGAAGGAAAATGGCAAGTTACGGCCCTTTTAGGGCAGAAATTTCGTCCGTTTTGCCGTATCTTGAAGCGTAAGGTCACAAACGGCCCAATGACGACGTGAGGCTATGGGCTGGCGGGGCGCGCCGCGGCCGGCCCGCCGCTGAGCGTGCGCGCGCGGCAGGGTTGCGCATCGCCGCTTTACACCGGCGTAGAGGAACGAACGGTGGGGTGGGAGGGGGATATCCGGTGGAAAAGCATCCACATTTTCTATCCATAATGAAAATGCATTATACTTTTTCAATATAGATGAGGAAATATGAGCCATAAGTACAAGGAAGTGATGAAAAGAGTGACAAATACATATATAGTTTGTACGGTTAGGAATGTAAGTGGGGAAAATTTCCCGTAACTATACAGAACAGCCCTGAAAATCTCCGGGAAATAAAAGCTGCTATTGATGAGAGGTTTGCATGAGAGGTTTAATTAAGGACTAATTAAAAAGATAGGTGCGATGTTGTCGAATCGTAAGCCCTTTACGCGATCAAAAGCGATTAGTGTAAATTTAATTGGAAAAGTTTAAGAAAAATTTGATGAAAGAAAATTGCCCCAAATTCGGGAAGTGCTTAAAGTGTTTTTCTATCATGTGAAGTTTTCGCACATTAATGTCAATGGCGGTGCGTCGAAAACCTCCGATCTTGTAATTCCAATATGGAATGAAAAATGTAGAATCCCTGTGATACATAGTGTCCATGTATTTAAAAATGTTTACATTTTTATGAGGAGTGGAGGCGCGTATCACAAAATGCTAGCCGTCGATCGCTGGTTCAAGAGAATTTGGAGACTGATTTTACGGCAAAAATCGACGTGTTATTCGACATTGCTTTATGCAATACTTTAGATATCATGGAAAATGAAGAGGATAAAGCATTTTTAATTCTTCAGCAAAAACCTGAATGAGAATGCATAATATCCACAGTGAAGGATACTATCCTTGCAGCAGAGGTGAGGAGAGCAAACAAGAAGAAAGCTCGCGCCCAGGAGAGAGTTTCTCGACAGGAAAAATTCACGCTCGCTTATGAGTCCCGCCAAACGGAAGAAAATAAGTTTGTTCATTTCATATGAAATCACTGAAGGTTTGATACATCAATAAGACTTTGTTTACCCTCCTTTTCATTGGTGTATTTGACGCGGCATCAATTAGAAAGTTTTATTCAATCGGTTCAATCTGGCTTCGCCAACTTACAGCTGATGTTGATTGCCTGGCCTCACCCACGGGGCTAAATGACACATTAGCCTCATCTACTCAAATCTTCCCCAGTAGCCGAGTGGTCAAGGGCATTGCCCACGGTTATAAAGAGTGGGGATCAAACCCCAAATTAAATCATATTTTTTCGAGAAACTAATATTACATTTTTGANGGGGGGGGGGGGGGGGGGGGGGGGGGTTCAGTACCAGAAAATGTAAGTGGGTAAGCCATATTGAACCTCTCGAATTAAACTTTCTAATTGATGTCACGTTAAATGCACTAATGAAAAGGAGTGTAAACATAGACACTATGTATCACAGGGATTCTACATTTTTCATTCCATATTGGAATTACTGCCATTGACATTAATGTGCGAAAACTTCACATGATAGAAAAACACTTTAAGCACTTCCCGAATTTGGGGCAATTTTCTTTCATCAAATTTTTCTTAAACTTTTCCAATTAAATTTACACTAATCGCTTTTGATCGCGTAAAGGGCTTACGATTCGACAACATCGCACCTATCTTTTTAATTAGTCCTTAATTAAACCTCTCATGCAAACCTCTCATCAATAGCAGCTTTTATTTCCCGGAGATTTTCAGGGCTGTTCTGTATAGTTACGGGAAATTTTCCCCACTTACACTCCTAACCGTACAAACTATATATGTATTTGTCACTCTTTTCATCACTTCCTTGTACTTATGGCTCATATTTCCTCATCTATATTGAAAAAGTATAATGCATTTTCATTATGGATAGAAAATGTGGATGCTTTTCCACCGGATATCCCCCTCCCACCCCACCGTTCGTTCCTCTACGCCGGTGTAAAGCGGCGATGCGCAACCCTGCCGCGCGCGCACGCTCAGCGGCGGGCCGGCCGCGGCGCGCCCCGCCAGCCCATAGCCTCACGTCGTCATTGGGCCGTTTGTGACCTTACGCTTCAAAATACGGCAAAACGGACGAAATTTCTGCCCTAAAAGGGCCGTAACTTGCCATTTTCCTTCAGAATTGATGTGTCGCTTGCCAAAATTTTTGAATTTTGGGTTTAGGCCCTTTAGGCCCTTTGAGGCACGGGTTAAAATTTTTTTTAAATTTTTTCCTTTTAGGGGGTTCATTTAGAGACTACATACAAACTTTTTAGGGGTTGACCAACTTGATTTTCGCAAAACTCAAAAATAAGGCACACTCTACCCTCCTCCTTATAGAATTACTTCACATTTTGATTGATAACTTTCTCCATTTCGCCAAGAAATTGACTTATTTCTTCAATGCTTCAGCTTAATCGAAACTAAACAAACATTACGCTCACTTTCGTTTGATGTGATGAAGAGCTAGACCTCCTCTCAGGGGGAGTTAACTGTATTCTCCTCTTGGTGTTGCATAATGTTTGGGCTGTCCTTACAACCCATGCATCGATATCATTGTTTTTGTTTTGTTTTTTAAACTATTTTTTCCCTGGTTTTCAATTGATATTTCTAATGTGCCTCATAAACACAAACAAAAACTTATGAAACCCAAAAAACTCCACTGAAAAACCCTATCTCACCCAGATCAAGTAGGGAAGAAAAGAGAGAGAAAAAGGTAATCAGTTTAAAAACAATTTTGAAAAGAAAGAAGATTTTTGAAATTAGAAGTCTGATTTGAAAAATGAGAAGCTTGGGAACATAACTGTAATTTTAATCAATTTTCTCTGATCACGATCAATTCATACTCACTTGAAAAAATTTAATTTCACCATCAAGGGCTGCTGTTGCAATTGCTGTGCCATCAGGTGAGAAGGCAGCATCGACAATGCAGGCTGAATGTTCGTTTATTTCTAGATAACCTTCTGTCACAGTACTAGGCTTGACTGGTCCAACACCATGAGCATTCTGTACCATGCCTACATTCCACAGTTCAGCCTGTTATGAACAAAGAAAAAATTACTTACATTAGACAAGGTAGAGTCATCGATATGCTACATAATATTGCAAAACACATTTTGTTTGGGCAGAGGCCCAAAATAAAATGAGAAAAATAAATGAAAGAAAGAAATGAGCAATTTTGGAAAGTGGACTGTATGTTTTATTTTATGAAAGGCTACCAGGCCGCGCAGGGCCGGCTACAGAACAAGTCTGGATTCCCTAATTGAGTCTTACGAGACGATTTGGAACACCAGGCTGCGCGGAGCCGGCTTCAGAGCGAGTCTGGGTTTGAAAAAAAAGGAAACGCGAGAATTTTGAATCTTAAACGTAAACAAAAAAGAAACTCATGAACGGAAGATTTAAAAACTAATTTAGATGAACATGGAGAAATTGATACTTACGCTATTGAAAAGAAGAAAAGATCAAGAGATACAAATTTGCCGAGGAAAACACTGATGAAATAAGAAAACTAGCTTGAAGAGCTTTACTACGTTACAATTTACCTAAAGCTTGAAGAGCTTTGTAGAAACTTAATACTAAGACGCGGAACTGAATCACTACTGGATTACCAGTAGGGCACACTGCTGGAATGCTAGCAGGATCCTAACAACGAAAAATAAAAAAAGATAGAAAGAAAACCTATAAGAAACACTACTGGACTTCAGTAGGAAAGCTAAACATCACTGGATACCAGTGAGATGGCGAAAGAGATGCGAAGGAAACACGAAGCGCCACTGGATTACCAGCGGGACAAGATCGGCAAACGAAGGCGAAGATTAATTAGCCACACGGGGGACCCTACTTGGAGCTGTTTCGGCTCGATATTCGCGAGATCAAACAATAAACTAAAACCTGAACTTCTTATCGAAACAAAATGAAAATCTGAGTGAACTAAAAGTAACTGTATGGTATCCTCCTTAGGATACAAAAGTGAAAATAAAACTTTCCCGAGCCTTTTCCTGGAAAGGCGGGATCAAAAAGGACGGCATGGCTTTCAAGACCCGCGCGCCATCTAGTGGATTGGCGCGGTACTAGCCTTTTGCCGGTCGAGCGCGTAGGGAAGGAGTGCGCTGGCCGACGCGGCGGTCACGGTGGCTGCTCGCACGCGTTGCAATGAAAAAGGATGAAAATAAAAATCAGTCCCTGACTCAACACATTTTGTTCAATATTTTTATCCCCCTCCAGAAAGTAGAGGAGCGGTTATCAACATAATCACATGTGAGAAATGCTAACTCAGGCTCCTAGGGTGTATTGCATAAACCCCAATAAACTCTTAACTACCCACTTACATAAATTTCCCATTGAGATGTAATCCTTAAAAAATCTAAAAAATATGCAAGTTTAGAATTGGGATTGAAAAAAAACTCAACTGAACCTTGGAAAGGTTCTGAAACAAAATTTGAATGGAAAATCAGCTAGCGTGTCAAACAGGTATGATACATCCTTTTATCTGACATTGCAGCTTGGAGAAATTAATTACCGTAATGTATCCCATTAGAAAATTACTGGTGAATCTGACTATTGGCCCCTTAAAAAAAGCAATGCTTCGAGAAGTCTGGAATTGTTATAAAATGATAAATCTGTTCGCTCAAAAGTTATGGTCTCACGACTCTGCAAAACATCTTAGAGGCATGTTTGCTGGTTCTAGTTCTAACTGTCATATGATTTTTGACACTAGTTCAAGAGTGAGTAATAACATTACTTGGGGACTTGGGAAAATAGTGAAATTTTAGGGGTGTGCAGACAACATCACTATTGATTTACCCATATCCTGAGGCTAACTGACTGAGCACCATAACTGACATTCACATCAATGGCATCTCATGCAGGTAGCATTGAAGGGTGGTAACTCAAATCATATTTTCATCATATTAGTATTTATCCATCTACATATTCTTTCAAGACAGAGACATGTTGCTACTGAAAATCAGCAGTAAGTTTCGTACCAAAAATATATGGTGGTACGTATGCTTGCAAGTCACATGAAGCTGGAAAAGGCTCTGGGCCCCACTACTCCGTTATTACTGAGTAGTCCTCTTTCAAAAGGATACTGCAACCAAGAATTTAAAGAGGAACCTTGGTTTTTAGGAACTGGCTCCAGGATCAACAACAATAAATGCACTGAAAGACCAACCAACCTTTGTGCCTCTTGTTAAGACAAGTAGCGTGGAGACATCTTCAATTATTTCACCCGGTGATTTTGTATCATCATCAGGGATAAAAGGACACCATATCACTCTATGCGGTCCACAGTAGTCAAGATCTGAGTCCTGGATGACATGTAAAAGCAGTTCACTCTCTAGCGCTGTTTCAGAGTCTTTACTTTCCAAGACCCGATGAATGAAAAGGTTGCCTTTTTCATCTACCGAGGCTAAAATTACATGGTTCATTATGTGAGCAAAAGCTATGTCTTGAACAAGTCCTTCCATTCCACGGATGAGAACACGTGCTGATGTTTCGCTGTTAATGACTCGAATCACACCCGTTGAGGTTTTAGCTGCAGAACACAAAATGCACAATTTTATGGAAGAAGTGTAAATGAACACCTAAAAATGAATTCATAACCAATAAAAAACGGGAATGTAGAGCATTTCTAATCCAGGGCAAAACCAGAAAGTAGGGCAACCCTGCGTTTATGAAGATGCTGTAAACTTTGACATTGCAAAGCGCAGCCTAGTTGCATGAAATGAAGCGAGTTACTAAAGACTAATTTGTCAACTTGATTCCTTGCAAATTATGTTTCAACACAATACTGCAACATTGGACTCAAGGTATTCAATATGGGAACATGAAATAAAAAATGTATGAGCTCCATGACCCGACAGCTAATGAAGACACAAGGCTCCTGATTATTTGGCAGTTTTTGCATTATGATTTTCTTCCCCATACAAGTAACCGTCCATTGATCATTATTTCAATAACTTGTGATGGTCTGCTAGTCATAACTTTTGGCATTAAATAACAGCGCAATGGCATTGGAAATGGCTTGAAACAGCTTTCATCCTCTTGCAGACAGAGAATGACCTTGATTTTCAAAATTGAAGAAGTTTTCATTATTTTTTTTTTAGAAAAATTAAAAAAAGAACAGAAATGTTGCAAAAATTACCTTTAATACCATATGCTAGGTACTTTCCACCGATATGCACAGCGAGGAGTTGTCCTGTGTAGAAGCGTTCCTCCCATACATAATCAACCATGTTCTTCATCTTGACTTGTGAGCTACCAATTTCATGCTGCCCAAGACTTTGAATGATTTTAATGTCTGTGCCTGTGATTGCTTGGCTGCTTTTGGCATCCTTTCCAAAAAAATCACTGGGAAATCAACAGAATTTATAAATTTTAGTATCAGTGAGTACAATATCTATAAAATTGAAATCCCAATGACAAACAGCAGACTGTTGAGAAATTAAGGGAAAATATTAAATAAGAGGGAGAGGTTAAGGTACTGGCATAAAATAATCAAAATTCATTCGAACTAAAAATACTTCAAAAAAAGAATATTAAAAAAAAGGCCCCAAAATAAATGGTTTGAAGGAGAGGCAATGATGAAAGTTCAGTATATTTTTGAAATCCTATACCTCGAAAACAAATGAAGTCACAAGAAATGATTTCATTTGACTGCTCACATTTCTCAATTTACTGCATGATAAAATTCCGCGGTTCCTGGATGATAATGATTCATCATACATTAAGCTGAACCACAGTTCTTGCTAATTAGACACAAATTTTATTTAAAGTTCCGAACCTCTTTGGGAAGTTCTGTCCCGGTTTGTCTCATCAATCACCAACACCAGTGGACAGCACTGTTACCCGATTCGACCAATCAGATCCGTTGGTTTTTGTTAGGTCGAACCTTTTTCAGAACCACCTCGCAAGGTGGTGCCGAAATCATGCACTAACGTTGCAACTCGTTAGTTACTGAATCAGAAGTTCCGAACTCAAATAGAACGGCAGCTTGGAGGTTCGGGCCCAAAAGTAATACCAAACCTCTATATAAAATTTGCTTAAAATCACCCATGTACCAAAACCATCGAAATTGATGAGAATTGTAGTGAAAAACGATGTAAATGATTTTTCCCCTTAAATTTTTTTTTTTTGGGGGGGGGGGGATAAATTACACCCAAAACTGGCCACTGGCCACTGTTTTCTATCATTTTGTCATGCTTCAGGACTGTCCAAAATAAACCTGGCATTTTACTAAAGCAAAGCAATCGGTCAGAGGCACACTCCTTAGGGATGTTGGTTGTCGCCAACATTATTTAAAATTTACTTCGAGTGCATGCCAAAAGAATGGAAAAGGAAATGTTCTGATATGGGTGTCCCCTTGGGTGATTTTGAAACTCTGTTGACTCCGTGTTTTGCTGATGACCAGGTGGTGGTTGCTCAAGATCAAGATGACGCGGAGTACCTACATGATGCGCAAGCCAGTAGAAGAGTATCGGAAGTGGGGTTTGGAAGTCAGTATATCCAAATCTGAGAAGATGACTTTTGGAGGTGATCAGCAAAGCATTGAGTTATAGGATGGGTAGCAGATCAGAGGCTGCGCAGATTATAAATACTTGGAAGTGCGATTGACCCAGGATGGAAGGACGGATCAAGCTATCAAGGAAAGAAACACCTTAGCAAGGAAGGCTATAGCGATGTTAAATGGAATCCTCTGGGATCAGCGCATTTTCAAAAATAACAAGAGGAGGATATACAATGCTGTGGTTAAAAGTATATTAACATACGGATGTGAAGTTTGGCAGCTGATGAAACAGACACAAGATATGTTAAGAGCAACGGAGATGGATTTCTGGAGGAGGTCGGCAGGAATTTCTAGGAGAGAATGGGTCCATAATGAGAGAGGGCGTCATAACATGGAAGTTAAAAATGACATCGTGTTCAACATCATGACCAAACAGCTTGTCTGGTACGGCCACGAACAGGACGCCCAATGAGAGGTTAGCGACAGGGGGTTTTAAATGAGATGAGGGAGTGTCAACTCCCTCATCGATTGTGGGAAAACCGAGGCAATTAGGCGTCGCAGAGCGCCAGAGAGCGTTATAAAAGCAACTCATGTATGTATGTACAATCAAAATTTCAACCATGGATGGTACAAAAATGGTGCCTCGGAGAAAGTTGGCAAACTGATGATTATGGATCAGCATCCATAAATGAGTTTGATGCGATAAAAAAATAAAAATTCGAACAGGGCACACATGCCCATACGGAGGGTGCAGGGTCTTTTCTGACTTTCATCGCTGAAAGGTGTAACTAAGAACTGTGAATAGTTACTAAGTAGGGCACCATTGTGTTTGAGCGATGCTCAGCAACTTTAGTATTCTTGTAAGGTAGGTGAATTTCTTGGGCAATCCGCCCATGATTCTGTCTAAATCCTTCTTTATCAACCCACTCCTGAGTTAAGTTTTTGATGAGCATGCTTCATCGGAAACTAGTAGACACAGGTATTTTTCCTTTAAAGAATGATGTAGTGGTTGAACGTTGGTCAGGCTCCAAGCAGCCATAAACGACTTCAGGTAGGAAGGCCACTCAGGGGAAGTGCTCTTCCTGCACCCAACGTCACATTTGCCAAGCATAATTCCAAAGACTGTCTGAAAAATTTAGTCTCTACCTTTAATAGAAATATTAAAATACTTACATTGTTTGAAAAATAGGCTTCGCCATTGATGTCATCGTGAAATATTACAATTGCATTAAATTTAAGTCCACCAGAGCTGTTGGAAATGAAACGATCGTAAATGCTCTCCAGAGTCTCCACCTGCTGGCAGTTAGGTGATTAGTCACGTTCATAAACGACATTGAGGTAAACTGAATGAAACTGAAAATTCTTTGTTTAATAAGTAGAACAATCTCGGTTTTTTCAAAATGATCTTCTTTCCAGCCTTCAAGAGCCGTAGGCCTCACTCAGCAGGTTGACTTCAGCTTCAATTGAAAAAGATAAAAGGGAAATTTACACAAAAATCAGGGGTGTTGGCAGTCATCCATTATCAGCCTGAATAAATTACAGATATTACTGTTGAATATCTAAAATAATTGTAATGGGTCTCTGGTTGTAGATAGAATCCAATTCGATCCATTTTCCTGAAACACATTGGTTACTCGAACCTATGAAATCCTATTGAACGATACCGTTCAGGTCTTGGAAAATTGGGTTGAACGGTAGCTCACCACAGCTTAAAGACAATAAAATACCAATCCTCCGATCAAGAGGAAGAGCAGTTTCCAGCCGGAGTGGAGAGGTGTTATGCGTTTCGAGGAAAATTGTGAGAATTCATATGATAAAACAAATTATGCTGTAACTTTTACATCAGGGTGTAGCGGACATCAAGGGTTGACATTAACTACCTACTGGAGGCTTGATGTGAAAATGTGAGCAACCAGCAGAGAATGAAATTATGATGTGCTTACCAGCAGTCAGCAAAAGAGAGATGATAACTTGAAAGATGCCGATTAAAGAAAACACAGCACAGACACAAAAATTATAGCAAAGAGTTTATATGTGACTTTATCGGCCTTCGAGAAGCGGCATGCTTGCTTGCTTGGAGATGGAGACTCAGAAATGCATGCAGAGGGGGAGGGAGACGGCAGAGGAGGAATCTCGGAGTGTCATCAAGAATCAGAAGAAATTACACATCGTTGCTGCGCGAAGAAATGCGCAGACGGATAAAATTGAGCAGACTGGAAACGTTGTTGCCTCTTTTCTCAACTTTCTTTAACTTTCCTTTTAAACTCCCTCAGTTTTTAGTTTCATAAGGGCTCATTTTGATTCTTGGGTTCAATTCTTTAATTTAATCGTCATTGAAATGTCAGAAGGTGGTTCAAACAAGTGCTTCTTTCAAGTATTTCAAAATTGTTAAGTGAAAATGACTAAATGTTTATATGGCAACATGGAAGTGATAAGCGGGATTGGTGTTTACATGTGCATTTGATTCGATGTTTTGATGACTGACAATCATGCGGCATCTATTTTCTTACGTGGAAGTTATTCAATCTGCTTCACGGTGTTACTATAATCTATAATACTCTTTTCGCTATTATTAGTTAATTACTATGATAATTTCCGAGGCCGAAACTCATATATAAATCGACTAGGGAGCATTGTTTTTTTCTCTCATCTCATCAGGTACTTAACTTCCCATTTAATCAAATTATAATCAAACTTTTCACTTTCTTGTACTACACTGCTTGGTTCCTTTGCCTTAAAATGAGCTCTTTAAAGTCAGGCAACAAACTAAGTAGTCTCTCTGTGTTCTATCTTTGCGCTGGAGTCCTACACTGCCATCGGTGCAATTGCCCTAACATCAGATGTAAATTGTAATTAATTTAAATGATTGAATAATGTTGCCAGAAAAGGCCAAATTTTCTACCCTCAGTAGTATATGTTGCATCTCAACAGCCTCTGATCATCCTCTGTAACTTTTTATGACATTCCGTTCATGTAATTTTACCTATATAGTAACTACCAGGTACGTTGTCAAAGTAAACTGTTTGGAACTATTTGGAAAAAGATGTATTCGTCATCAAACTGTTGACGTTGTTAGACTCCGTTCGCATCACCTGATGACTTGGGTGTTTACATTTTAATGCTCAATGATCTCAGAAGGTCAATGGATCCATTAAGTTGCGTAATGTAAACGCTTTTAGGGGATAAAAAGTTGAACTATTTGAATCGGGCACATGAAGCACATCAAAAAGCAGTAGCTTGACTGCATTGACGGTGAGAATAGTCCTCAGCCATAGTGGAATGAAATAGAATATTTGTCAGTTACTAAAATAAATGGAGGAAACAGAAAGCAGGACTCTTACATTTGTGAATTGAACAATGTAGAGTAAAAGATCGATAATTACTTAATTCATTCATTATTTATTTTTTTTCTCTCAGGAAAGGAATGAACAGCATGTCCGTCAACTTCCTGGTGGTATCTCTTCATACACTGTCCACTGTTGTATTTGTAGTCTGCCACCAGGCCATACCGCCGGGAGTTAATCCTAAAACGTATCAACAGGTATCAAATTTTTCCCACCATTTATATCATTCTTGATATTTTCCTCAATTTTATGTATCCTGGGAATTAATGAAAAAAGCATACCCTCACTAATGCACCACACTAATTTATAATAAGTGAAAGTATAGTAATTGGCTGGAGAAAGGGAAGTTGTGATTGGTCCTCCCTAAATTTAAATGATCTTGAACTAAAATTAAGACACATTGTGTAGGTTTGGCCAATGATTCTCCAGGAGCCATTCAAAAGATGTTGCCTTTTGGACAGAGACGACCGTTTAGAGTGCTGCGCGCACCAAATACCTTGATTCTGTTCTCTCACTCACCATGACGTAGCAGTTGGTGTAATGACTGGTGCTCTGCGCTATTGTTTAATAGGTGTAGGTTTAATCTTCAATTCTTGCTTTGTATAAAGTAAACACCAATACTGATTGTTGTGTCTCTTTACCAACCACAAAATTTATTTTAACAATGATTTAAAAGTGGGGGCAGCTGCTATATCTTATTCACAATAAATTTTGCTTTAGTCACATATTCCATAGGGATAAATTAAAATCACAAATGTAATTTAGAATCACTCTTTCCCAACTAGCTCAATCTATTTTCATTTGTTCAAATCATTTGATTTACAGATTAAATTGTAATTTCAAGTGGCGCAAGCTTGCCATTATTTACAGTTTTTGTTTTCTCTCTTTTATTAAAATACTTCAAAATAAATTCTTTCAAATTGGATTGGAACATATCAAGAATGAAAAACAATGAAAAGGTTAAAACCAATTGTTTTTTGTACTTGAGTGGTTTTTCAATAAAGAGAAAAAAAGGGAGGGAGATGAAAAGATGCAGTGTTTGCATCCCACACAATGACGGTCAGGAAGGAATATGAGTCCTGGATCTTCAAAACCTTCCTGAAAAGGAAATTAAAAATCTCCAATGGGTACTTTTTTGTTCACCTTCAATTTTTTATCATTTCAGCCACAGCAATTCCATCAGCAACAAGTACCTGTTGCACAACAGCAGTATATGCAACCTCAAGCACAAGTTCAGCCACAACAGTTTGTCCATGAGCAAGTAAGTACCTTCAAGTAATATTCTATAACTTCAGTTTTCTTTTATTAGAACAGTAGCACAAAGAAAAAGCAGAGGAGCATACATAGAAGGTACAAGAATCTTTTTTCTACCCCAACCCCTTATCCAAGCCCAGTTTAAATATGGGACATGGAATGGTGAAAGTTGATGTCCAAATTCTCAACTTCAATATATAATTTATGTAGATTCTTCTCTTTTAAAAAATTCTTAAAGTTCTGCATCACTTTTACTGAGGCAAACTTCATCTCTAAATTTTTTTACATTCAAAACACACTCATTTTTGCTTTTTTGCTTGAAATAATCAAAGTCATAGCAATATCCAACATTGTAACACAACTTTAAAAAAATCGTTTTCCTCTTTTTATGAAACATTTTATATTAAACTTCAAGAACACATAACTATTGTTGTTTCAAGTTGAATTGTTGTAATACACAAACTAATTGCGGTGGGTGCGCCGGTCGTAAGACAGTATGTTGGAGTTTTTTTTTGCCAGGGAGTGTTAAAAATCAGCATAAAGCTGAAAATCTCAATACAGAGGGAGAAAGCTCATATGAGCTAACTAATGTTGCACCAAACAGCGTATTCTTAGAGGAAAAATTGTGCTCATATGAGCTTTTCCCTCTGTATTGAGATTTTCAGCCTTATGTTGATTTTTAACGCATGTTTAGCTAAAAAAAACTTCAACATACCCGTCATAGTTGACTTAAACGTTTTTGCATTGAGTGCCCTGCTATTAATTTCTTAAATGTTTTTTTCTCGTATTTAAGGTTCCAGTCCAACCAATACACCAAGCTCCTCCTCCCAGTGGCCACATTCCCCAGCAGCATTTTCCCCACGAACAACATCTTCTTGATGCAAAAAATATTCAGCATGAAAAAGAGTGAGTATATCTATACCATTGTCTCAATTGAAATAATTATCTTCAGTAAGATCCTTTAAGTGGATCAAAGATATTATTCTTCAGCAAGAATTTAAATTTAAAAAAAATTGGTCCCTAGTTGATTTTGAGATATTAACTCTGAGATTTTATTGATTTGAATAATCAAAAGTGCTTGCTTGACTTTGAACTATCACAAACTTTTAAGTAGCATTAATGTGATGAAATTCCCTATAGTAGTAGGTTGTCCCAGTAGTAAGTGGACTGATGCTATCTATTTAAAACTAATGATACGAGAGACATAATCTCGGTATTATTTTGAAAATCAGATCCTGAGCTATCAATTGTGAACAGAATCATTTCATTTGCTTAAATATTGACGAAGTTATAATTGTTTCAGTGGGGATAAAATACTTTTGCCCACAATTTTTTTTTATACATTATTAATAATAAAAATCTGTGAGCATCGCTTTCCGATGCGCTTCTGTAACAAAAAGCAACTTTGACTTCGCACGACTGTCCACTGTCTCGCAATGACTGCTGTCACCATGGTAAGCAAACAGAATGAGGTGATCCCTATGCCAATCATGCAAAATGGTAATTACCAGTAAGTGCGCATGGAATGCTGGTTTTTAGTGTTTTTCACATTTTACAGGAATTTTTGCATATGCAATAGGAAAGAACAAGATTATCGGTAAAGAACATGTTTTTGAAAAAGCTTCAAAAAGCTTCATGGTGTGTGAGCCAAAATGAAAGATGGAAATCAATATGACTGTCTAGAAGATTTTCAGTGATATCTCAGAGAAGTTATTCTGTGGGGCTGCACTAGAAAATTGGCATTATTGGATGCCCAAGTGCATCAGGCAGGGGTGCAAAGCTTTTCTTTTTCGCTGCTCGCTCCCTTCTATCTAACACTGTCACCTATTTTGATATTACATCAGTTTGCACAAAGCTATTTTTCTTGTTTGCTGATACTTATCCCTCCGTTTTTTATTACCTTTCAGTCACATAGCTGATCATTTAGAAGTTCCTATTGACACTAGCAAAATGTCTGAGCAAGAATTACAGTTCCATTATTTCAAAATGAATGATGCAGATAATAATGACAAACTAGATGGTTGTGAATTGATAAAATCTTTAATTCATTGGCATGGTAAGTTGGCATTTCATACAATACTGGTCATTTTTGAATTTTTGGGGTGTTTTTTTCTTTGGCCCCAATGCTGATGAACTTAAGACTTATATGGTCAAATAATAACCAACCATTTCGATGGGTAGTGTGAAATGGATGCTTGGAATTAGAAGTTGAGATTCTTTTGGTGCAAAATCGTGAAACAGCAGGCAAAGTGAGGGCTGCAGTGTGAAACCTGAAGCTCTTTTATCAATAGAATCTGGCGTTGCTGATTGTGGGGATCTCAAGAATTTGAGCAAAGGTGGCGAAACTCTGCCCCTCTGATAGTTATCGTCCTGTGATTATTCCCAGTGCTTCAACAACTATGCAGGTTTTCTGTTGGTTTTCAGCAAAACGTTGTTTGTGCTGAAATGTCTATGAAATTCACAGTTTCAATTTCTGTCTAATAATAATTACCCAGAACATCAGAGGCTGTGAATTTAAAACATTTGTCTTTTTTTCAAGTAAAAATTTAAGTTACCTTCAACTTAGAATTTCAGTAAAATTTGTCTTTAAAATTTTTGTTTTATTTTTAAATTAAATTTTCTCTTGATTCAAAAATATCTAGTGTGCAAAGTTTTTCACTCAACTACTGTCAGGAGACATTTGAAGCCCTGTGGATTCAACATATTCTTGTTTTCCAACAACAGATAAAGCATTTGAAGAATGTTAACTCTCAATTTTTCTGTTGTCTTTTCATCCTGACCGATTTTGTAGTCTTCATCTCACATCACTTCAATACTGAAGTGATTTGTTCCAATTTCTGTTGGGCTCCTCACCTTCTGTGAACCTCATTTTGTGTATGTGAATGCAGATTTTATGAAACTTTCCACTTTTTGAAATGATACAATTTTTTACATTTTGCAGTTTTTTGTTTGCTTTTGTTTGTTTGTTTATTTTTTTTCCTGCACAAAAAGTGCTCTCTGAATTCATGTAAATGCTTGAAGAGCCATGCTCACCAAGGTTAAGATAATAACCACAGCAGCTTGCCTTGAGCCTAATGTCATCTTGCCACCTCATTTGAAGATATTGACGGTGTAAGTTGGCAATCATATAACTCGGTTTGCGACGTCGCGGACTTCCTGTCATTATTTGTTTTTTAAACGAAAAGCTACTCAACGGCAATTCTTTAAAACTGCCGTGATATTTCTTCTCTGCAAAAAAAAAATTCTGCAAAAATTTCAAGGGATGATGTCAATTTTTTCTTTTTTAAAAAATTAACATAGAGGCGGTGATTTACAGATGCTGCAAATGAGATATGTGATTGCAGACTTATGCCATCGATATGTTACCAAGGAATGTGGTTTTATATTACTTTTCATCCATACATTTTTCGAGTGGAATATTTAATGGATGTAATCTCTTCACTAGGAACCTTCTCTGTTTTTATAATACCGAAAAATCCCTCCAAAATAAATTTCTTTGTAAGCTGATAGGAATGTAAACTGTTTAGCTTGGGCAAGATTTTCAAAAGATAATCCTACTTTCAAGATTTACCTCATCACGAGATTTTAAAAGAAAAACCGTGAAGATTTCAGAACATTTTAATAATCTTGGACTCTCACAGGCTCATAGATTAATTGCCAACTTTTTTTTACTTTCCGCTATTGCTACCGCCTTCAAAAGTTGAGTCCAAGACAATTCTTAGCGGTTGATTCCCCTCCGAACATTTCATCAGGAACAATTTTTTGTTTGCTCAATTTGTTGTCAGACTGTGTTGGTGCACCCTTTCCTTGCGTGGATAACTGCTTTATATTAAAACGGTTAAATATTACTTTTTTGCAGTCACTCATCAACAGTGTCCTGATATATCCTCAAAGGTGCTTTGGGTAATTTTTAAAAAAATGAGGCATTTGTATTAAACCTCAAACATGGTGACTCATATAATTTTTCTTTTTGAACTGTATTTAGGTAATGCTTCACAAGTACACCAAATTAATTTTTGAGAACGAACACGAAATAGCTCATTTTTCAAAAACCAACTTTCTTATTTAGTTTGGATTCAACTCATATCTTTGAATTGCATTGAATCAAGGTTAACCTGGGGTAGATGAAGGAAAATTGTGGTGCTTTTAAGACACTCATTCTCGCTGTGACATGCCATAATATATAAGAGCCATTCATCATCACTGAGCTTGCAGCAAGCAGTGCTCAGGTTTATTACTATAGGCATAAAATTAAACTATTTCCCTCCAAATTTTTTGCACCAAGAGTAAAAAAAGACATTGTGGCCAGGACACCATCTCAAACGATGGCGGATGCCATTCTGCCATGCTAAGGAAGAACGCCGTATGAGCCCCCAGACGTTGCCATATTTTCTTCAGTAAAAACCCAATTTACTAGGAAAATTGTGGATATTTTTCTTCAATTTTGTCAGAAAATATTATCTACAAGGTCTGAGAACTTCAAAGAAAAAAATGCATAATTTTCTTCAAAAATAAACGTTTTATCCGGGGCAATTTGGCAACTCTCGAATGTTCAAATGGCGTTCTTCCCTAGCACGGCAGTATTTTGCCACTAAAAAAGAGAGACAGCATGACACTCTTGTCTGAGGTGGTGCTTTTTTATTTAATGATTATGTACGCCAAAGACTCATTTGATTTGAGCTGTGGTTGCTTGCTGTAATGCACAAGTATCCATTGTTCAAATTGCTACCATTCTTTTGTTGCTATGCTTATTTTAAATTGATTGTGCATGGTATTTGAAAAGATTGAATTCTGTGTCCACAAGTTTGTTCTTTGTTGCTTTTGATTGCACGTTTGATGTTTATTTTAGTGTGAGTGTGTTTTGGGGTTTTTCCTTTCAGAGCAGGGTCACAGAGATCCTACCACAGGCACTGTTACCAATCCCCCTGAAAAAGTTTTCAAAGATGAGGAACTAGCCAGTTTAATTGACCCAATTCTTTCAACGGATGATGCAAATAAAGATGGATACATTGACTATCCAGAATTTGTCCATGCTCAGCAAAAAGCTTATCAGCAACAACAACACCAGGGTCAACCAGGACGCCCCTAGTGATCTCCCTTGAATTGCAGTATCGTTCAGAAAAGTTGGTAAAATCCATTTTTTAAGTTGTCAAATTCCACTAACATTGTTCTGCTGTTTTATTTCCTATTCAAGTGTTATAATTATTGTTCCTGAGTTTGTCAATATCTTTCCAAGAAATCCCATTATGTAATATGATTTAACATATTTAGAGCCCTAGAACACTGCATTTGCCAACTTAAAAGAAAGTAGCTGTCCCTCTAAAATTGAGTCCTGAGTTTCATAAGTTTACGTAGGAGGCAACAATGGAAGGAGGAAAAATCTCCAGATTTTCAGAAATGATTTGTGATGACCAGGTTCCTGGAATCAGGTAAGGATAAGGAAGTGGAAATTAATGAGAGAAATGTATGTTGCTTGCCAAGAAGCACAAGGAGAACAAATTGTCGCCCTTTGCACACATTTATGGTTGGGTGAGAGCGTGGTTGAACTTTTACTGCACTCCAGTTATTGACGATTTACGCTGTGGCATATGTTTCATTCAATGTGGACAGATATGAATTTGGTTTTAATTGGATTGATTGACTTATAGCTTATTTTGCTTACATTTATTAGACCATGGCTTTGCTCACTTCCTATTACATTTACTAGTGTCGGTGTTATTATTCTGAGGAAACTGAATGGAGGAGTTAAAAGTCTCAGCTGAAATGTATCATTCTCTCACTTAAAAATATGTCATTATTACTCTTTTTAAAAGGAAATAATTTACCTAATCACTCTGGTGAAACATGTTTTAGAGGATTTTACACATTTTGCTTTTTAGTGTGTCCTCATCAAAACTTAGTCGTCTGGATTTAAACACTGAGAAATACCTTTTAAACTTCTCTGCCATTTTTCCTATAATACTTAAGTGAAGAATAAAAATTTAGATTTTAATGAAGATGAAACATGTTTTGTAAGCTATAATAATGTTTCAAATGGGTTTAAGAGTGCATTTAAAAAAAAAGTATTTTCTACTAAACTTGAAAGAAGGAGAATGTCCAACAATTTACTCTTATTCTAACAGACAACTTCTTACTTCCTCTGTTTTTTAGGAGAAGAAAAAGATAAAGATAAGACAACAGATTCCAAGGATGACAGTAAACTTTACTCGGATGCTGAATTGGTTGAGATGATTGAACCTGTCCTTCTTGAATACGATAAAAACCTCGACGGATTGATCAGCTGGGCAGAATTCAAAGCAGTTGAGCATTCGTAAGAGGCTTGGAAAACAAGTGATTTTTGGTCAGGGTTGACCCCTAGCTGTACAGAGCTCAATTTACTACTGAAGTTATGTTGAATCTGATTCATTCCCTTTCTTTTCCCAAAGTGTTGTTCTGTTTTTCTTTTGTTAAACTTAAAGGCTTTTGATACAAATTTTAATTTATTTTTTAAGTAAATACAAAATATTTTCTAAAATTTGTAGTGCTCATTGTGTTCCCCGCAGTCTTAAAGTCTATATTAAGGTGATCTAGAATAAAAGGGTATATTTGACAACTGTAAAATAGACTACACAGTTGTCCTGACCATTCAAAATCACATCTATTCATTTAGGCCACGTTGGAATGGGTCAGCTGCACTGGTCACAGAATCAAATTTTTATGATTTCAGATTAGATATTAACAGAAAATAATAACATCTGTCCTTACAACAAGTCTCTGCATCTAATATTAAGGAACGGAGTTATTGCCCTTTAAAAAGCATGATGTATGATGTCATCCTGCAGCCTGATTGTGGAAATTTTGTGTTTGTCGGGTCGACATAGATGACATAGGTTGAAAGGCGGAGCATGATTGGTCGGCTATGTCTTATCGTGCCTTTGTCAGGAGGAGTGGACCCCATGCTGTCGGAAACTTAGGAGGTGCCATTAGCTTGTGGTGAGTTCACCCGACATAGGTACAACAAAGCAGCAATAAGACATAGTCGACCGCAATCACGCTCAGCCTTTTAACCTATGTCATCCGTGTCGACTCCACAAAAACAATATTTCAACAATCAGGCTGCAGTGCAGTGAAACCCGACAGGTTTCTTCCATCTTGCTTTCATATGTGCCTTAAGTGGAGCAACTGGGGCAAATGTATTGTGTGTATATCACCACATAATTGATGAATCCGGAAGAAACCATGGCATGTATTATCGCTCATGTGGGTACACCCAGAGAGACAGAAAATCGCCAGGCACGACGCATGAGTGTGCGAGAGAGACCGAAAATAGCCAGGCAGCCCGCTAAAGTGTGCGAGAGAGACAGAAAATAGCCAGGGAGCCCGCTAAAGTGTGCGAGAGATAGATAATCGCCAGGCAGCCCACTAATGTGTGCGAGAGAGACAGGAAACAGCCAGGGAGCCAGCAAAAGTGTGCGAGAGAGACAGAAAGTCGCGTAAGAGTGCGAGAGAGATAGGAAACCGCCAGGCAGCCCGCTAAAGTGTGCGAGAGAGACAGAAAGTCGCCGGGCGGGTCGCGTAAGCGTGCGAGAGATGGAAAATCGCCTGGCGGGACGCGTGAGTGCGCGAGAGACAGGAAACAGTCAGGGAGCCCGCTAAAATTTGCGAGAGAGACAGAAGCTGTTTGTCTGGACAGACCATAATACGTCATGCCAATCTATAGGTTTTTACCATTAAAACGTCATTTTGTGACTTGCAACTGATCCATCCTTGTCTCGTTTTCTTTGAATTTTGGTCAGTGTTATTAGGTGTCTTGATTTTATTGGCAGTTTCGTAACATTAACTTGGAACTTTCAAATTGGCAAGATTAAATTAGTAGTGGTTTTCGAGAAATGTACCTCTAAAAATACTCCAATGCGTTGCTCACGGACTTTTTTTATGCCGTTCAAATTGTGTCTACGATCAGTCATGGGCTATTCAGCTTTAAATGGTTTCTTCTGCTGTGCTCCCGAAACGGTGTGAGTGAATCGATTTTTGATTGATCGAGCGCTTCTCTTTGTTAAACTGAAAGGAGAGTACCTACCGCTTGTATTCTAGATTACCCTAGTCCACACAGGGTGTTTACTTATCACCACCATTCCTTAAAGGTGTGTGGAAGGAAGATAGCCCTTCTTAAAGCAAGGGTCAAATAGAATTTTCCTTTAAGTTGTTCCTTCATTATTTAGACCTCTCATGGGAATTGGTTGTTATCCTATACGTATACATCAAACTTCTTCATGGTAGCAATGGCGCTTTTGTGATCAGTCTTTCAAAAAATAAATCCTTCAAGACCAAAAGCTCGGCAAGATCAAATGGATCGCTTTCAGAAAAAGGGAACCAGCACGGTTGCAGTGTTTTCAAAATCGTGCACGGCTTCTTTCCTTTAAAAAATACTCAATGTATGTACACTATTCAAATTTACACTATTTTTATGTATATTTATTTTTATATTTTAATATATGTACACTATTCAAATTTACACTATTTTTTTCCTTTACAATTCTCAATTTTTGGGTGGAAGCAAACACCAGCTGCTATTCTGAGAGATCTTTTAGATAATTAAGAAGAAGCAACATTATTACGTCACAGTAATCGCGCTGGTTCCTTTATGCTAAGTGTTATCCAAATGGATTCTGCCAGTAGTCTCATAAGCAACTGCCTCCATCGATTTTTTTTCAAATTTTACTCATCAAGTGTTATAAAGGAAAGTAGGATTCACATCAGTTATGTGATTACTGATTTCCTTTCTTCTCATAAGAGATTCTATCCTGTCCAGCTTTTTCCAGATACCAAAGACCAGATCAGTTTTTCTTTACAGGTTCCTGCCTTAAGCCTGGTATCTGGGTTAATTGCGATAGTGTATTTTCCTACAGAGGAGTATAGAATTGCAGCTACAGGACTGCATCCATGTAACTGCACCGCATGGTGTCCGATAAGGCCTCGCAAATAATACCAAAAAATTCAGCGCGGACTAAATTTAGATATTATTTTAAATGACATTCCTTCCGACTAAGGATGATGAATCAGCTTTTGTCTGTTTCACTTTTTGTGTGCTAATCTTGAGAAAGCCAAGGCTGAAGAGAGAATGTTACAGCATTCTTCATACATCATCTACTAGAAATGTTGCAACTTCTGATACGTGATCGAGGACAGCTGTCATTTCTTTGCTGGCTAGAAAGATAATACAAACGAATGGAATCAAATTCCTCAAATATAAAGCAGCGCGCAGTGCAGCTTGTTTAGTAGTGATCCAGACAGCCTCGCATCCAAGAAGAACAAAAAGTTCACTTTTCTACCCTGCTGTTCTTGACATTAGCACACACGAAGTTTGATTTTAAAAGCTCATAGCTGTTGCAAGGGACATCATATCAAGTGCATAGTATCGGAATGCAGCCAGTGCCAAATTTCTTAGTATTTTGAGCACTGTCCTTGAGCCATCCCAAAAATTTTCTCGGGTTATCCTTGTTAAAATGTTCAACTAAGTGTGATGACCTAAAAACACAGTTTTTGAAAATATTCCACTTCTTTCTAGTTGATCCTTGCCCCCTTTAACTTTAAGTCCATTCTTTCAGTTTTCAACTGAAAAAGTCAAAATCAATTTCCTAATATGACTGAAATTTATACCATTGGAAAAGGAAAAAAAAAGAGGCAAAATCTAGCTTGGCACTCCTCTCATACCTTGCGACTAACTCGTCTCACAGCGACTATAAAGATGTTCCCTCCCCCCTCCCCCCAGACTAATGGAGCTCTTAGAATGACAATGAAGAGAATAATAACAGAAAAATACAAAGTCTCATTGCAGAAAAATATGTGTCAAGAGTAAATTTGAATTCAATCTAATTTTCTAGGGTCAAAAATTCGTTGAATATGAAAATAATTGACAATCTTCCTCCTGAACATTGAATACTAGGGAGAAATAAAACTACAAACCTCCGTATCTCAATTTAACATAATGCGATTTGGTATTTTTTCGGTATTCTTGGTCCGAATAGGCTAGTCACTTTATGCTTCCATTTGTTTGCATGTATGAGAACTAGTCACATTACTACATGTTGGAACAACATTCGTACTTATTTCTGTTTAAAATGTTAAAATTCATTCAAATAAAGTGGGCAGAGCAAAAAAAAGTGGGACAAACTAATGACCGGTTGTCAAAATTAATAAAAAATTTATTAATAAAAATAACAGGTCACAGTTATTTTGTTTTGGTTGTCAGTTCTTTAGCTTTCGCCTTTTCTAATTTGGCCACTCTTGCCGCAGCTTTGGGGCCCAAAACACCACCACCCCAGTGACGTTTGATTTCATCGAATCGGTCATTGAAGTTAGCCTTGATGGCTTCTAACAATTTTGTAAGCTGTGGTTTGTCTTCAGCTTTCACCTAGAAACAAATTAAAATTTTTGCACATCAGTTAAAGCTTACTAAGTACTTGAGAATGTGTGTTTCTCAGGAGAAAATTTCAAGTTTCAAGGTCTGGCAAAAACTGGCCTTACAAAACGATCCATATTGATTTCTTCTAAAAGATCGAAGTGTGTGTGTATTATATTTTGGCTCATGCATGTACTGAATCAATCCGAACATTTGGAGAAAAACGAGAGGTGGAAAAGACTAACTTTCCTTTTTTCGATGACTTTTTGACCGTTATCGGTACGTCAGAGTTAAAAAGCTCAAAATTCAAAACATCAAGAGGAAGATCAGTGCAGAAATCATTCATCATGGTACAGATAACGGCCACTATCAGATCGAAGAAAACAATAATAGTAGCAAATCTACTTTGAAAGAAAGAGATAACCTAGAATAACCTCATAATTTAAAATTCTAGAAAGAAAAAAGAGGGGCAGGACTTTTGAGGTGATACTTATCAATGAGTGAAAATGATTGCACATCAGAGTTAAAAAGCTCAAAATTAAAAGAATCAGCTGATAATCATTACATTAATTCATCACAGTGCAGTTTGTTATAAAATGCATAACCTAGGATACATGCTCTTCCATGGATTTCTGGAGCATAAAATATAACCAGTAAAAAATTTGAATACCTGGGTCAAACACACGGCTGTGCAAGTTTTCCTTCGCACAACACGGCCTAAGCGTGCTTTGCTTTTGACGATGCAGTATGGTACGCCCATTTTTCTACAAAGTGCAGGCAAAAATACGACTAACTGTAAAAAAAAAAAAAAAAAAAAAAAAAAAAAAGAAAAGGAAAAAGGTCAATCAGTAGTCCTTTCAGAAGACTTAAAGTAGTACAACTCAATGAAAACATGAGCTGAAAAATTTCATGCCACAATTTGTTCCCATCTTAGTTCTTCTAAAGTCTTCTCCTCAAAACTTAAAATATTGCCACAAGGAAAAAATGTTGGATTGCTGTATTACATCAACATCCTTGACTTTTCGGTGTTTTCTAAAATATCCAGCGCTGAAGACATGCAAGCACATATTTAGCTACGTGAGGGTAGTTAATAGAAAATTGATTCTCTATTGAGGTCTCTCCTTGATTCTCCAAATTTGCTTGTTGACTCCTTGAACCACCTGCTCTAAAATTGCGGTATACACTGGCCCATGCCCTTGCATTTTTACTTCTTTATAAATCATAATTCACCTTAAATGGGCACACTGTTGAAACAAAATTCAACAATATGACTTTTTATAGCCACAATAGACCATTCACTATCTTCAATGTAAGTAATTTAGCAGTGGGCACTAGAACTGGATGTTGGTGCTCATCATCTCACTGCTGTGAAGTTGTTTGTTATTTTCACTAAAATATCTGAAAAATCATTCCAAATTGCAGAAGGCATACAAGCTGTCCCTTTTCACATCATATTTGCTGTATATGCTGTAAAAGAGAATCATTGTTAAATTTTCTTTTAGCAGTCAACCCACACTTTCACCGCAAATTACATAAAAAAGAGACACAGCCAATTCTAAGACTCTTCATGATACTTTATCTAATACTTTTGACTGAAGTAAAGAAAGAATAACTTTCAGACTTTGTTAAATTGGAGCGAATCCATCTGGGAAAAGCAGTAGCAAACATGCTGGTCATAACAAAATTTACAATTAATGCTTGCAAATTAATAATAGTGCCTGCAATGCTGTTCCATTCGATTGGTGTTGGTAGGTTCTGTGTGTGCCAAACAACCGATATGCGGCCGGCGTGTTCTTCAGCAGGAATTGACAAAAAATTATTTTTTTGGGGTCTGTCATTTATTATTGAAACTCTTTTTAAATGCAATAAAATAAACTTACCTCAATGGGATCAACGTCATGTGAAATGACAACGAGTTGAGCTTTCTTCTGCTCAACTTGAGTGACAACTGTCTTGACACCTTGTCTCAAAACTACGGGCCTCTTGGGTGTAGTGTCTTGTTTGGTGGCAACCTTCCTTTCTGCACGACTTTTGAGCATACGCTTCTTTGCTAAAGGTTCAGTTGGCCTGTAGTTCATCAACAATTTGAATAACTGAGTGGCTGGAAAAAAAAGAAGAGAAATAATTGAAAGTTCACTGCAAATTTTCCACTATAACACAAGTGTATGATCTGCCTATGCTAGTTAGCAACACATCAGGAGAGGCGGTAGCCACCCCCGGTCGAGGAAAATGACGTCCTACTAAAGTCCCGATAGCAAACGGGTGGCCGACACTCTTAGTCACATAAAAATGTCACATAAAAAATTGAACATTGCCTAGAAAATGTATAAAACTTGATAACCTGGCATTAAGGGACAGACTTTAGGAAGGGATTGTTCACAAAAGTTTCTCAGCAATGAAATGCTTTAAATAATTGATGACAGAATATATTTTAAAAGATATGCCTAGCTGGAGGACAAACAAAATATGATTGGGCACAAATAATATATGGAAAAACTAGCCACTATTTCAAGGTTACTCAGACATTGAAACCATCACAAGGAATGAATTCCCTCTGGTGGAAACCGCGAAAGTTGAAAAACTCTTCATGGTACACATCTTGTTACAGTGGTTAATAGGATACAGTTAGGAATAATTTAATACAGCCAAATCTTTCAATTTTACTTTACATGTTCTTACTTTCTAAGATGAATTCATTTCAAATTGAGTATTGTCAAAGCCTGAGATGATTGGCTACCTTTAATAATTGGAAAAAAAAAATATTTCAGAGCAGGAGGTATCAGACATAATATATCTTCAAACTGTCAAGAAAGATTTGACGAATCAGGTGAAGAGATTCAAATAAATCATCACGTTCACACCTCACTCAGAGAATTACTTTTGCAACACCCATTGACAAATAATTGATCAAAAAAATGTTATCTTCTTTCTAAAGGATAGCTCAGACGTCTAGACCATCACAAGAAGCCATGACTTCCTCTGGTGGAAACCGCGAAAGAAAAATCATCATCATTGCTGAGAAATTCAAGAACAGATTAAATGAGATTTGACCTTCATAAGCCTCTATAATTTGGCGTTCATGAGAACATTACACAAGTTTCAAAATTTTGATAGCTCAGACATTCGGACCATCACAGGAGGCAGATGCTTCCTCTGGTGGAAACCGCGAAAGTGAATCCCTCATCATGGCTACCTTTAATCTGGGAAACATCTTGTTTAACGAGGAATGGATCAAGTTAAGCAGAAAGGAATCAAGTCACATCACCTACTGTCGAATTTAATCGGGCAATTTCATTTTGTACATGAAAACCGTTGTGCAAATTTGTATGCTTTCCGTGCGCTATCCGCTCAGTACGAAGCAAATTCCATAAAATTTTCAAAGGAATCCAAACAAACGTTCTATTGTATAAAATTAAATTGCCCAGTTAAATTTGGCAGTACATGATGTGGCTTAGTTCCTTTCGGCTGAACGCGTAGCTTGAAATAAGGTAACAGTTGGGAAAAAACTGTATAAGAACAGTGGTTCATTTCGCCCCTTCGGCGAGGGAGGTAGAAAGGTCACTTTGCCAGACAGATATTTAATTGCACAAGCATTTAAGGGCTAATTTCCTCAGACGCATCTCCTCAGAACACCAATTTACTAAGATTTGCACTGGTATAAAATGGCTAGGATAATCAGATCAATTCTGCTAATGAGCCTCTAAAGATAATTTCTGCCAACCTGATACCTGGTTACCTCACGATATGAGAGAAAAATGAAGTACTGAAGGCAAGAGAGATCAGAATAAATACATCTTCAAGTGGTCATTAAAAACAAGACACATCAGGTGAAGAGATTCAATTTAAGAACATCATCATGCTCTCGTGTGACTGGAGTTGTACATAGAAACGTTTTCTCATAAAAGCTCTGACACTGAGATTTGTCAGGGGTGAACTGATACATTGGACAGCTCAGACGTTCAAACCATCACAAGAGGCCGAAGCTTCCTCTGGTGGAAACCGCGAAAGATAATTCTTCATCATAGCTGTGGTACTATGAAAAATACCTACAAAGAATGAGTACTTCATTTTCGATAGCTTTCATGATCATCACTCATGTACGAAACATTTTCTCATGAAAGCTCTGACACTGAGATTTGTCAGGGGTGAACTGATACATCGGACAGCTCAGACGTTCAAACCATCACAAGAAGCCAAAGCTTCCTCTGGTGGAAACCGCGAAAGATAATTCTTCATCATAGCTGTGGTACTATGAAAAATACCTACAAAGAATGAGTACTTCATTTTCGATAGCTTTCATGATGATCACTCATGTACGAAACGTTTTCTCATGAAAGCTCTGACACTGAGATTTGTCAGGGGTGAACTGATACATTGGAAAGCTCAGACGTTCATACCATCACAAGAGGCCGAAGCTTCCTCTGGTGGAAACCGCGAAAGATAATTCTTCATCATAGCTGTGGTACTATAAAAAAAACCTACAAAGAATGAGTACTTCATTTTCGATAGCTTTCATGATGATCTCTCATGTTCAAAACGTTTTCTCATAAAAGCTCAGACACTGAGATTTGTCAGGGGTGAACTGATACATTGGACAGCTCAGACGTTCAAACCATCACAAGAAGCCGAAGCCTCCTCTGGTGGAAACCGCGAAAGTTATTCATCATCATTGCTGTGGTGCTGAGAATATCTAGTGAAAATCAACATTTCATGCCTTCCTTAGAAAGGTTCAGTATCTTCCAAGCCCCTTCTTTTCTACCCCCATGAATCTGCCCACCAGCTTCACACATACATTGTTTTCTTTTAATGGCTCAGAAGTTGAGACCATCAAAAGGAATAGGTACTCCCTTCGGTGGAGACCTTGAAAGAAGAGCAAGCATCATTGCTGAGATATTTAGATAACATGCAATATATTGATACGTCAGATTTAAACCGATATGTTGTATTTTGATAGCTCAGACGTTCAAACCATCACAAGAGGCCGAAGCTTCCTCTGGTGGAAACCGCGAAAGATAATTCATCATCATAGCTTTAGTACTAGAAAATATACCTACAGAAAATTAATTTTTCATTTTGGAAAGCTCTTATGATAATCACTCACACACGAAACAATTTCTCTTAATAACTCAAATTTTAAGACAATTACGAGGGATAGGTACTCGCTCTGTTGGAAACCACAAAAAAACAGCAAACGTAATCCCTGAGATATTAAAACAGGATTACACATGGTGGAGAATTGAGTCAAAGGTGAACTGACATGTTATACTTTGGTGGCTCAGACGTTCAAACCATCACAAGAGGCCAAAGCTTCCTATGGTGGAAACCGCGAAAGATAATCCAACATCAATGCTGGAGTGCAAAAAGACATACCGACAGAGCTTGTATTCTATTCTAGATAGCTTTCAAGATGATGATTACTGATATTCAAAAAATTTCTTCTTGATAGCTCAAATTTAGGGACATTCACAAGGAAGGGGTAGAAACCACAGTGGAGAGCACAGAGAAACAGCAAGAACAATACCTTCTCGACCATACCTGGTCACGCCCAGATTGAGGTTATGTCGTTAGTAAATCGATGAAATGCCTGTTTATCAATGGCAGTGTAATGGGAAATTGTGAGTTTTGACGTTAATTTACTATAGTACGGCCAATTTTCATCATTTTTTTTGTGTGTTGTGACTCCCCAAGTTCCCCCTGCAGATATGAGCAGTTACAGTTGTGTTTAAACTCGTTACAAGGAAAATATTGAAGATTTGATCTGTACCTAATCTTGCGCTTCATGCAGATTGCTGCTACTAGGGTGGAAATAATTGATTTTCGTTCAAGTGGTGGAGTTTTCATCATAGGAAAGTGATTTTAAATCATCTTCTCTCATTATAGTTCTGTAATACAAAAATGCAGTCTCGAATTTCTGTCTCATATGCAACCATGAAGCCCATTCTGAGGTTTGTGCTCGCATTTTTCCTGTGGGATTTCATTACCTACCCAGTTCAAACCCACAGGAAGTTTTTCTGTACGATTGTTCTCTTTCCTAAGCAGATATGGCACTCTTTTGCAGTCAGACAAGTTCACCTCTTAAATTAGTATCTTGTAAATGATTTCCTTTCTCATCCAATAAGTATTCAAGTACCTTCTGCTCGCCAAATCAGCTCGCTGTTGCAGTGTGAAAGCCCAAATTTTTGCTTTGACAATCAGTTTTGAATCTAGTGGTCTCTTGTCAGTCCAATTGCTCAAAACTGTTCATCAAAGTTATTTTCATCGTAGTGTTTAGATCTCCGACATGAATGCCAAGGATTGGTAATATCTTACCTTAATTTATACTCTTTCAATGCTACTTTTTCCAGCACTATTGCTGTTTATCATGCACTTTAAAAAAAGTTTAGATAAACTCTACTAATTCCTTAGAAATTTTTGCACAGATGATGAATGGCACTGTATCAAATTCATCATCTTCTGCTTTAATGAGAATAATATAACCAGGGTATAGTATTGACTTTAAAGATTCGTTCCTCTTTGAAAGACCGTCCTTTAATTTTTCAAAGCTAGGGATTATGTCTTTCTCCTCTTGTAGCTGAAAATTTCTTTTCAATTGAACTTGAGCCATGTCTTGCTCTCGCTCTGCAGGATCTTTTCTTCGTTTAGCAGGGACAGTTGATCGGTATATGGGTTGGTTGGGAAAGATAGAGGGATAAGCATCGTCAGTCAATTTTGGTCTCTGTCTCTCAACTCGAATGATAGAGCCCTCTTTGCTCTTGAACTCATCATGCGTCACAACAAACTGAGGATGGAAGTGGATCATGCATACTACAGAACTTTTGGTAGGCGTAAAGCTATCCCTACTGAGAGCACTCAACCATTTTGCATGACGCTCTGGCTCTTTGGCAGGATCAGGGAATTTAAAGGTTGAGACATCAGGACCAGAGGAGCTTGCATAATTAGATTTGCAGCCAGGCACACAGCAGCATCTACCCATTGCTCTAAATTGCACAAATGTCTAGTTCAGCAAAAGCAGCAGCAAAATAGAAATATCACAGAAGCTAACGCTTACTTAAGTACCATATAAAATCCAAGGCATTATAAAAAAGAAAATCCATGCCATGAAATTAGGTAATAACGGATCAAAACTAGCACACACCTTAAAATCAATAAGATTAAGATTCTTACAATTCCAAGGAACGATCCAGTTCGCACGCTGAAGTGTAGAAGGCATCATCGTAGATAATGTGAAGTAAAATAAGGCTGTTTCATTGCACTCAAAGTGCAGTTGAGTGCGCTCAGGGTGCAGTGAAACTAAGAGGTCTGAAAGACTCAAACTTAATTTTACTTCATATTTGATTATTAGGAGATCAAAGGCAAGCATTGATGGTCCCTCTGTTACGACAAAATAAGCCATCTTACCACAGCTGCAACTTCACAAGACACACACTGCAGTTCGCCCCTTGGTTTTGCACGAAATTATTTGAGAAACTACTTAGGAAGCTTTAATGATCCACACAAAAATTAATACATTAGGTCGCGGGAGGAAACACGAAGCTTTTCCTGAAAAAAACACTCAGTCAAACACATGCAGAAGAACCGTCCGATCACTACTTAGGGAATACGAGGAGAAATTGAACCGATAAAACTCATTAAAACGTTGAAAATCTCACCAAGAGTGAGGCTTATGGCACAGAATTGATTTCTGCCAGGAAAAAACTGATTAAACTCGAATTCAACAAGAAAACTCGCGATTTCGCACTCTTAACCCGTTAGCACTAACGTAAACACATTGCGGAAACCGATTTACTAACGACATAACCTCAATCTGGGCGTGACCAGGTATGGTCGAGAAGGTATTGGCAAGAATCATCACCAAGATATTAAAGCAGAAACACATGTGATGGAGCATTATGCAAAGGGTGAACTACTGTGTTACATTTTGATAGCTCAGACGTTCAAACCATCACAAGAAGCCGAGGCTCCCTCTGGTGGAAACCGCGAAAGATAATTCATCATCATTGCTGTGGTACTGAGAAAAGTACCTTGTGAGATTGAACATTCTACTCTTATCATGTAGAAGAGCAGAATCTTTCAAGCGCCCCCACTTTCAAGCATGCATGCACCCACCCACCGATTCTCCACAAAATTTCCCCATATATTCAAAAGTAGTGATCTCTTTCTTTTTCTTTGCCTTTAGACTCTTAAAAGTTTCCCCTTATTCAACATTAGTACGTGGCCCTCTGAGGGACAAGATAGGGAATTTTCTGTACCCCCACTTTAATCAAACTCGTATGATGATTGAGCACTTTTAAAACGTTTCCTCTGGTGAAAACCACAAAGGAATGATGATAATCATTGTTGACAGATTGTGGAAACATCACATAAAGTAGATTATGATAGCAGCGTTGAATTTAATAGCTCAGACGTTCAAACCATCACAAGAAGCGAAAGCTCCCTCTGGTGGAAACCGCGAAAGATAATTCATCATCATAGCTAGTTCTATCTAAACTCTGTTATGTTCAACAAGAAAGTTAACTGTGAGTGTATGTTAAAGAAATGCATGGATGAAAATTTCTTCTCAAAACTTAGATCTGCAATTCATGACAAGGAGCATGAGCTTCTTCTGGTTAGGACAGTGCAAGAAAGTTTACACAGCCCAGCTTCCAGCCTGATTCTTGGTATAAGAAAAAAGTGAACTGAGGGGGGTATCTTTCCCCAAAATTTAAGCCCCCTCCCCTCCAAAAAAACTGGCAAGGGGAGAGGGGCTCAAAGTTGAGAAAACCGGTCAGAGACTTTGCCTCATTACTTCGTCTAATCTAGTTATCTACTTGCGGTTAACACCGACAACTACCAAATGAAAGACATGGTTGCCAAAGAATTCAGAAAATGAATTTCCCCAATTTTTCCGTTACATTTGGGTAAAATTCCCTGACACTTAAGCTATGCCAAATGGCAAAGGACAAAATTTTAAGTAGTTCTCTGGCAAAATTTTCTGATAAAAACATTAAACCCATTCTGAAGAGCAAATAAAGGTGTCTCGACCATTTTTCCCTGACCGTCGCAACCCTGTTTACTATACCAAAAATCAAGACGGAGAAGGGAGGGGGGAGGTTTTTGAAACACTTCTTTTCTCATTAAAGTTAAGAATACGCAGAAGGTATTTAAAAAATTCACTACTTGGTTCAAATTTTTATCTATAGCAAAGATCAGAAAGTTAAAATTTCCATTTTTCAAATTAATTTACCTAGTTGCAGTGCCCTTGCAATTTGCCTTATTTTTGATCTGAGTAACTATTCAATGAACCTTGTTCACCAAGTTGGATTTAAAAGCCTTGTTGGGCTTATAGAAACTCCTAAACCATCCTAGAGGTTGCTGAAAGAACATAAAAATATTTGACTGACAATTTCAAACTGATGACAGATACTTAGAAAAAATAATAACACAAGAAAATTACCAGTTTGCCGGTCTAAGCATTGAGAGAATTGATTGATTGGTGGAGGAACTTTCAATCTTTTCTGCAGGATTGCCTTTTGTCGCTGTATGCGGATGTATTGGGGCCATTTGACAAATCTACTTAGATCTCTTTTCGGCTGAATATCCTGACCTAGAAATGATACAATTACATAACTTAAGAATTTTGAGAGGGAAAATTCACTTAAAATGCATTAGGTAGAGTTGAATGATAGAACCTTAAATAGTTCAAGTGTGATCATAATAGTGAACATATAAAGTTACTTCTAGTGGGAGAGTTCTTTGTTCAATTTGATAAACTATTTATTATCATAGCAGCTTCGGTTCTTTCAGATTGACAGATGCTCAGAATTAAGATTAGAATCAGAAGATTCATTACGTGAAGAGATTCAAAATTAACATCATCATAACATCCTTACTTGAGTAGAAAACATAGTTCAGTTACAACAAAACTTAAAAATGCCAGATTAATTGAATAAGCAACTTAAATAATTCAAGTGCGATCATTCATTATGGAGGACATGTAAAGTTTTGTCTGGTGGTAGAGCTCTTACTGTAATTTGATTAATTATTTATGGTCATAGAAGCTTGGGTTCTTTCAGAATGATGGATGCTCAGAATTAAGATTGGAATCAGAAAAATCATTACGTGAAGAGATTCAAAATCAACATCATCATAACATCCTCTCTAAAGAAGAAAACATCATTGTTATGTTACATAATGACAAAACTTTAAAATGCCGGTTGACAAGATAAAACCATCAAAATAGTACTTCTTGTGATGTTTCGGGGCCTATCTAAACTCAAAAATCTATAGACTAATAACATTCTTGCTACTTTAACAGAGAGACTTAGAGGGACAGGCGCTTGAGACGCAGAAGGACAAACGGAATCTGCCTTTGAGGGCTATTTGACTTAAGTACTATTTTCATGATTTTATCTTGTCACCAGGCATTTTAAAGTTTTTTCTGTAGATTTGTGAGTTTAGATAGATCCCGAAACATCATTAGAAGTACTATTATGATGATTTTATCTTGTCAACCGGCATTTTAAATGTATTGTAACAGTTTAATAAAAAATCAATGAAGAGAAAGGGGTCCTAGAGGGCTTCCGAAAGGGTAAGAGGCTCAAGAAGGATGATAGAACTAGGAAAAGAAAAGAAGAGACAAAAGTCACATCAGTCTGGATGCATCAACTATCCATTGGCCTATTGGTTAGCATGTAGATATCTCTTGCATGGTGCAATATTTGGATGTGACATTTGTCTCTTCTTTCCTTTTCCCAGTTCTAACTCTCAGCAGTAAATTCCTAGAGGTTGAATTAGACTATCCAAGTCAGTCTTTCCTTGGGCCGTTGGTAAGATACTAAACATGTAAGGATGGCTAATAAGACCCTGATATCTCCTAGAAAAAGGAGCATGATACAAAATTGACTGAGTAGGCACAAAACTTACCAATTCCAAAGTTCTTCGGCCGCTTTTCGAAGAGTGGGTTAGTTTTCTTCTCCTTCTTTTTGACTTTCTCAGCAAGAGGGGCGGGGGCAACCTTTTTTGCTTTCGTTACTGCCTTCTTCGGCTGAAACAATGCAAAATTAATTATGATTTTGAATTTAGAAATTCTTAATCGTGTAGCGCTAATTTTACTTCTGCCTCTGAACTAAGTAGTACTTAGCACGAGTACCTAGTTAAGTCTACTTAGACCTGTCATACTAATGGTTTAAATCATTTCCTCCAGCCTTGTATCGGCAAATAACCACATGACTTTCTGGAAATTAAGTAGCACTTGGTCTAGCATGTTGGGCCTGTAGTTGAAAGGGGCGTTGTCATAGTAAACTTGTCCGATACCGTTTGGTATTTGTTTACAGATGCAGCTCAACAGTCCCATCATCCTAGAGGGATTGTTGAGTGTTCGGTAGGAAAATTGGGCTTTCGTAAATAAAAACACATGTCATCATGTTGATCTAGGGAGTTCAACAATGCAGACCATGAGGAATCGGATAATTCCGTTTCCACAAGGTCCCAGACAATTAACTTCAATAATGCAGCTTCAGTGTGCGAACAGGTCAAATTCAGAATTGGACCCTAGGCATGAAAGCATGGGCATGGACGAAGATATTACATTAGGACCTTTCTCTGGTGTGCGAGATCCGAGCGTCAGCGCGATCTGGCAGAAGCACTTTTGAGTTATTTAGAGGAGCTACTTTCAGAATATGTCCCATAGATACCGCTAGTAGTGAGAGGTACTTTTTACGAAACCGCGTCGTTATAGGTTTGAAATTTCCAACGAATTGCCCGTCGCCATTGCACTAAGCCATTGCATTGCATTGCCTTTGCTGCACGCTGCTTCCACGTTGATTTCCACCTATTTCTGATTTCCCGAGTGTATTTAGTTTCCTGAAATCGAGTGCTCTTATCTTTTCTTCAAGATGAATCCTCAATTTGACTGTGGTTAGCAAGTGTTGGTGTTCTTTTCACCCGTGATATAGACTTTTTCAGTGTTTTAGTTTAGTAATCCGTAGATGTTTTTTGTGCAGCCGGTCTGCCAGGAAAGATACATCTATCACCCTTTTTTCTTTCCCGTCTTCAAAAGAACGGTAAGTAATCATACCTTTCATTATCTGCTACTTTCTCGTATCGAAAAACTCTCTTGTACCCTATTATTTGTGGCATGTTGGCTGGTTATTCCTCATACGCGAGAAGCCCACATTGTTGTAGAAGTGGCCGCTGCCGCTATTTCTGAAGGTGGATACTCCGTAATTGTGGTTACAAAGGGTCACTGTGCAACACCCTTTGCTAGTGTCACCAGTTCTGCCCCTACTCAACTTTACATACCTATTGCTGAGATAATTCACTCGAGCTGTATTGCTGAATTATTAACTCTCTCATTTGGTAGGAGGTGCATCCATGCCTGCATTTGACTTGAAGCAGCCGGTACGCGGTCTGTCAAATTTTCCTACTTGAGATGAGTCTTAGCATGGCTCTTTTTTGTGTCTTCAATCTGTTCAAATTACGGTTGAATAAGCTCAGCTCTACTTCTAATTTGCTGGGTGTCACAAGCTCCCATCGGTACTTTTGACCGATTTTACCTTTGAAACAGTTAATCTCTTTCCTCTACCTAGTGTTCGTTAGACTCAGATTTGTTAGATAGAGCAGTATGCTAGTCCAAACCACAGAAAGAATATTGGGAGTCAGGAGAAGTAATGAGCTTGAGGTTTTCTCTTAATTTCGTACTCTTCGAGCATGCGAATCTTATCAGCTAACCTGTGCTCAGATTCTCGCTTGAAGATTTAGTCTGAGTCAATTTACATGAATCTGGTGCTACTGATAACCTTTTTTTTTTTTTGCAGGTTAGAAAGATGGCTAAGAGCCATTCCGAACGCTCCGCCCTTGCCCCAAAGGAAGAACGCAAGAATTTGCTCTCTCCATTTCTTCGTAGAAGATTTCAAGGTTTTTTCAACCTTTAAAAAAGCATTGAACGATGATGCTGTTCCGAAGGCGGGATTATGCTACCAACCGTCCAATCACTCTGTGTCAAACACATCATTGGGCGGTCAGTCATCGCAGTTCAACTCACCTTTGGGTGCATCTTTTTTGTCTCCTTGCTCACCCTCTCCTCATATCAACAAGGACACACTCCGTCGAAATTACGGTAAGCTTTGAACGGAATCAAACCATTCCTTTTATTTTCCTACATTCTCATCTCAAAGGAAGGTAATGAAAAAACAATCCTTATCTCCAGAGGTAACATTGCTCAGGGCTGTATTTCTTGAATTTTTACTAGGAATTTCCTTGAACTAAAATATTTGCATGCCACCAAGGCATTATTGCTTTATTGGTAGCTATTACAAGGTAATAATTCACTTTGAAACTCTGTCTAAAAAAATTTTAATGCTGACAAGGCAATGTCTTGAGTACATATTTTTTTTAAATAATTATTTTTACTCTTTCCTGCCCATAGGTTCAAAAAGTCGAAGAGAGCTGTTCACTTTTAACTCAATACAACTGGACGATTCAAAATGTTGCAGCATGGGATCCTCAAGAGAAGGCTCCAACCCTGATAATGGTAATTTTATGCTTATCCAACACTTTAATTTTTCCTTCAGTTGTTCAATTTAGGTTCTTAATAAATTATCTTAGGATCTTTTATAGATGGTTTCTTTGCCTGATGTGAGAATGTGCAACTTATTTGCAGTAGCTACCTGTCCACCCTTATTTTAAAGGTTATGAGTATCTTGCGTTCCATTCAATTGAAGATTACTATACTCTTAAAAATTCTAAAGTGTACGGTATAGAAAGTCTTACTCTCCCTCAATCTCAGATTGTTAGCTTCTAGCTTGAGTCCCATCTTTCTGTCTAATACCAATTTCTTGTTATGCTATACAAATATATGCTGTAACTCCAGTGCTACTGATTTTTATTTTCAGCTCCCTCCGATCAAAATTCCCCCATTTCCATGTGCCAAAGTTCTTTTGGAAAAAGGAAGCACGGTATTATTAACTCCAAAGACACCACGCCACGCAAGAAAAAGTGCCGAAGTCCACCCAGCCATAGAAGGCATTCTCTTTGTAGTGAGGAAAAGACTGGTCCAAGCAAGAACAGGGGACTCCTGGGTGAGTTTCTTTGTATTTTAATGGAAAAACAAGATCAAGCAAACAAACATTTTGTATCCTCTTTCTTCCTATCTTCTTTTTGTTGACAGAAGCTGCATTTTGTTTCTAATATTCATTACATTTCTCTATGAAACCAAAAAAATCCAATGTTTAATGTTAAAGATTGTACATGATTTTTTCAGAATCTGCTTTTCAAGTATCAAGTGTACATTGTTATTCAAGTATGCACTGTTCCCTTTGGAATACAAAGTAACATATTTGGATTTTTTGATAACTTTAAGGGTAGCATAGTTAATATTTTTGATCCCGCAAGAGCATAATGAAAAAATCTATTAAAATCTCAACCGTATTTTATGTGTTTCTTTTTTTTAAATCATTTGGCTGCAGCACATACTTTTTATCAGTCATTCTGTAGTCAAGGCTATCTCTCTTTTGACAATCGCTTCGTAAAGAATTTGACATTTAATTACAATCCTCCGAGGTTCTGAGTATGTTTTTTAGGAAATTTAGTTTTACATAGAACAGTAATATGCTTTGTTATAGTTAAAACAATTTAATTTAAATTTGCAGCTGAAAACCAGGAACCTGATTCCTCATCAAATGGAGACAAATCTTTGGGCCAGACATTACTCGGCACCGTCTCATCTCCAGGGCAGAACATCTTCAATGTAACAGCAACTCCCTCCGCAGGTAATTTTTTGGATTTGCCATTTTCATTGTAGTACAGATAACCAATTACTGATACCGATTTGAAGAGAGACATAAAACTCGTCCCATCTCGTCGAATAACGAAATATTATAAATATGCTAAAAATCAAATAAGTCTGATCGGTAATAATATCCGTTGCCCAAATGAAACATATTTCAAGTTCTGTTCGAGTTACTGGAAATTCTTAATGATAATGTGGCAAAAGCCGCACCATGTAAGCACATTTCAGCAAAACTGCTCTGTAACTCAATGTGCTTTAAAGCTTGCTGTGTGATAATGTGTTCTGACTTGGTTGATGAAAATGAAAAGTTAAAATGTACATATTTCAGTTGTCTGGGATTTCAATACCGCCGCCAGTGATTCTCACTTTTTTTGTTTTAAAATAAGTTCATCTGTCTATAGTTACTTACTCTCCTTAAATTCACTCTTATAATCCGCATTTCTATCCTCAGTTTCTTTCATCATTGCTGGTTCTTGTTTCAGATCATAAACAGCCAATGCCAAGGAAGCGGCGAAATGATAGTGCTCGAGTGGCAGCTTTGAGAGAGAAGCTCCTACAGAAGAATAGAACCATCAACAAACTCCGAATGCAGGTCAAGAGATCTAAACATCCCAAATCAGCCTCGCTCTCTGCAAGAGAAATCGTTGCTGCAGCCAGACCACATTTGAAGCCGACCATGCGAATTCTCCTTGAAGCGCAGCTGAAGTTGAGCTCTCGTAAGAAGAAAGGAATGAGATGGAGTCAGGAGATGAAAGATTTCACATTAGGTTTAATGTACCATGGCCCTAGGTGTTATAGGTATTTATCTAAGTTGATCCCTTTGCCAAGCATCTCAACAATAAATCGGTATCAAAGTGTATTACATCTTAAACCCGGTATCCACGAACATGTTAAATTAGGCTTAAAAGACATTGTTACAACCTGGTCTCAAAATAAGAAAATTTGCACATTGGTAATCGATGGAATGTCAATCAAGAGACACTTAGAGTATGATAGCAAAAGAGATTTTGTCAGTGGTTTTACAGATGACGGTCTGAATCGATCAAGCAAGCCAGCCAATCAAGGCATTGTTGCTGTTCTCAAAGGCATTCTTTCCCCTTGGAAGCAAATCGTTGGTCATTGGCTGACCACTGACACTGATCCTGCTGATATTATACTCAAAGCTGTTAAAGATTGTGTTGCTTTTGCGAATGATACAGGCTTAATCTTAAAATTGTTTGTTTGTGACCCTGGTTCAAAAAACAGGAAACTTGTGCGTGCATTAGGTATCACTCGAGATAAACCGTATTTCATGAACGGAGATCAGAAAGTTTTTTTTTTGTGGGATCCTCCTCATCTTATTAAGAATGTAAGAAACAATCTTCTCAAGAACGATTTATTGTGGCGTGGGCAAGTTGTAAGCTGGAAGCACATTAGAAACTTATACTTTGCTCAAAAACAAATGAGGTTGAAATTAACACCGAAGCTTACACGACGACATGTCATATTTAGAAACAGCTTTGCTAAAATGAAAGTGAAATTAGCCACTCAGGTTTTTTCCAATTCCGTCAATGTTGCCCTCCTCACATTTGTTGCATTTAATCGTTTGCCTGCTTCTGCTGTGCATACTGCTTGTTGTTGTAAAGACCTAAACGATCTTTTTGATTGCTTCAATAGCATGCAATTTGTAAAAGATAAACTTACCCTCAGATATGCAATCGGTCCAAGGTCGGAACATATATCATTCTTAGATCCAAAACTACTTGATTACTTAGATAAGGCTGCCTACCTAGGTGTGAAGAGACAACCTTTTGTTTTGATAGACTGGATTGTTTCAATTAGAGGGCTGTTGATGCTCGTAGATGATCTAAATCAAACTTATAATACCAAGTCAATCCGTACTCGTCTCTTAAATCAAGACACTCTTGAGAACTCCTTCTCTACTCTGCGTCAACAGCACGGTTGCTCAGACAATCCTACCACAAAACAGCTTGAGCGCGGGTTAAGAATGACTTCCCTCTCTTCCCTCCTGAAGCTAAGTGCTTCCAGTAATTGTGAAGATGAAATGGAGAAAGCAGTGCTCGGTCTCAAGAATTTACCCACTGAACTTTTTTCAAAGAAAAAACAACTCAGCCCCACTGATGTTTTGAGTTTAACGGAAACAGAAACCTTTGATTTAAATGAAAATGTTGATCTAGACATAATCGAAGAATGTGCATTGTATTATTGCTGCGGCTTCATAACTCGGCAATTTGCACGCAAGCACAAGTGCCCCATCTGTGAGTTTAAGCTTTTAGTCGATCCAGATGAAAGAATGTTATCGGAAAACTATCAGATGTTTATGTATTTTAAGGCACACAGCAACAAGCTTGGTTCTGACTTCGGTCATTTAAAAGCACCATCCTTCGAAAGTTTTGAAATACTGAAAAAAATTGACAATTTGTTCCATCAAATATTTAAGGTACGCTCTCATGAGAAGAATATTGCACTTAAGATAAGATTAGCAATTGACGAAGCAGGTTTAAGACTTAATTTGTGCACTGAAGATGCTGAGGATGAATTTCTGTCAACTCTCATTCGAACTCGAATTTTATGGGAAGTTAGATTTATGAATCGTAGATTTGAAGAGGAAAGGATTGAGGAGCAGGATAGGCGGAAGTTGAAAAAATTACAGGGCAAAGATGCCGCAGGAGGCTCAAAGGAGAAGAAAGGAAGTAGCTCTGAGTCTGAAGGTACCAAAAAAATTGTAGTTAGATGCGCGAAGCGAAAAGCAGGAGAAGAGCAAGAGTCTGACAGGACATCAAGTAAAGTTGGTACCTGGGCAATCCAAGAAGGAACTGCGCAAGAGACCTCCAATCCAACTTCTTAAATCATAAATCAGTAATCTGCATTTGAACACAGTAATTGCGATGGTCCCATTGTATTTTTAATTTTTTAAATGTGTGCACCCTAATGCCTGCGACCATTTAATCACAATCCAATTCCTTCGGTCAGAAAAGTGACTTTAAAACTAAAATGTTGCCTTTTCTTAATGTTTGATTTGAATTTCTGTAAATAGGCTCAATCATTTTGCACTTTTTCGATTTCATAAGTACATAAGTGACTTTTCTTTGTCATGGCTATTTTTCCCCCAAGTGAACCTCATACAACTGTGAATTTTCATCGTCTGATCATTGATTTGCAACTATATGCATATATTTGCCATTAAATTTGCAATTTTTGTTTATTTTATAAAGTATATATTGTTCAGTGCTTGCATCTATTTTCACGACGATTCAATTTTATCTTCAGCGATGGTCATAATTAAAAAATATGTAAATTTGTAAATGTTCCTGTAGCTTGCTTAATTGTGTTTGAAGTCATAATGAAGAAAGATTAACTTTTCTGAAGAAAAGAAACTTGGTCTTGAATATAAATGTGTACAGTTTTATCTTAATTGCTCGTAATTGTCTCTTCCATTTTATTAAACTGTGTCTATATCAGATACTTAATTTATGAACTGATTTTTATGAACATTGTGAACAGGTTTATCATTTTGATTCGTGCATTTCATTGAAGTATCTCTGCTGGCAGATATACTTCAAGCATAAAATCAAATTTCTGTCACGTTACTTTTAGCTATAAAAAATTAGTGACCCATTCATTTCCGATATGGAATGTGAATTATTGTTACTATTGCTTAACATTTTATTTCTAACATTTCTCTCATACAGATGTATTATTGTTCTTGCATTCTGTACCTACCTGCAATTAATTTAATTTTTTTGTCGTGTTTTTTCCTCTAAATTGTGAAAAATCTTAAAATTGTATTGTGATGTTCAGCTGAGTACGCTCATCGGTGCAGTGAGTCCCTCATTGTGCCACATTTATAGCTTCCTAAACTAATATATTTTTGCTGTATTATAGATTTTTTAAGTTAAATTAATACTAATAATAAACCCTCTCCTCTCCAAAAGAAAATTCAGTGGTTTCTCTTTCTTACATTCCTGTGGATAAAACCAATGCATACTTGCAAAGTAATTAATTCATCAACTCCTCTGAATCATATTATGATTATGCCAGGTTCAAATTATCTAACTCAAATTGTTTACTGAAACGAATATGCCATTCTAACAAAATACAATAATGCCTTTCGAAGTCCAACTTTCCAAATTTAGCGATAGAAATGAATTCTGCTCCAAAGTATTGTTCTTGTTACCATTTCAAATTTCCCACTCATTTTATAAGAACATGCTCTGGAAGAGAATTCATCACTCGCTAAGTTTGGAAAGTTGGAATGAGTGGGGAAAACAAGATCATTAATTTGAATTTGGCGGGCGAATCAAGCCAGGGAACCTGAGCTCGTGTCACGAGCGCACTCTACTGGCCTATGGTGCAACTACTTGTAAATTTAGTTCAAAAAACCGCTACAAGATCGCTGTGCTGTCAGCCGTTCTCCTCACAATCGAACACAGATTTAAACACGGGGCCTTATGGGACTGAGTCATCCTAATACGTTAGTATATATTCATCCATGGCATGGGTGTATTGATGAAGGAAACAGAATGGGACTATGTCTAAACAAACATGCTTGATTGACAAGCAATAATGTTCGCCTCCAATTCAACTCTTTGATGACATTCATGATCATATATGAATGCCCAGAGTTTAGACCATTTACTTGACGATCTTTGAAGATTGATGGAACTAAAAATTGACGTTCTACCAGCAGTATTACTGGTAAGGTTGAATGGAAGGCCCAGAATCACCCAGCTTATGGGGCATCAGTCAACAAGTCACAGGCCTCGTCAATGTAGAGAAGAATAATGTCACGGTCAGTCAGAATTCTGCGACGTGTTTCCTAATTTTACGGATGACAAGCCTGGACAGGATGACCCTCCTAATGACACAAAACTATCAGCCTGAGATTAAGAACTACATTTCTGGACATGAGTGGAGGAAAGGTTCTGCCTGCGGGAGGCATGAGAGAAAAAGACATCCTAAAATAGGCTGACGACAGAGACCTACGGGAAATGTGTATGCAGACAAAAATGAAGCGACTACGATTTATAGGGTATAGCAGAGATTCAAATCGAATGGACACTCACCTTTTTAACCATATTGAGGCTGTGATTTGTAAAAGGATTGAAGAGATATTTATGAGTAAATTACACTTCACAGTCTCGGTTGCCGAAGCGGCACACGCATGTTTTGGGAGAACTGACGTCTGCAAAGACAACGTTGAGCTTTGCTGAGCGCCACTGTTCGTAGATGAGTTTTCGTTGTTTTGTTAGGTTAGGTTGGTTAGGTTGTTGTCCCTTATCAATACAACACTTTTGTAAACAAACGAAGGACGAGAGGGCGAACATTCAATTCGAGTGAAGAGTTTCTCATCAATTTACCATTTTAGTGCATTCCTCGGCATATCTTTTCGTGGCGACGTAAGATCTCCATTTGTGTCATCGTGAAATCTTTACTCAGTTAACTATGGTGGCCACCGCTGTCTACATCGTCGTTCCTACTGTGATCGCCATTTTATACTCCATACGCAAATACCGGGTATCGAAATGGGGTGTTTGCACGGTCAACAAATCCCTTCAAGGCAAAGTATTCATCGTTACTGGGGCAAACTCTGGTATCGGTAAGGAGACTGTGAAGGGTCTAATCAAGCGTAAAGCCCGAGTCATCATGGCTTGTCGGAACATGAACTACGCCAAAGCTGTCGTTGAGGAAATTCGACGCTCAGTGACCACAGGCGAACTGGTAAATACCTTACTTGAACTTCACTGCTCAGGATAAGTAACTGGGGGAAACTCGAGATTTGCCAAGTTACAATACCTTTAAAATATTCACTCAATGGTATTATGAACACTGTGAAAGATTTGCTGTTCTCCATTCCATTCGTGGTAACTCTGAGAGAAGTTTCTGCACCCCTGCGTAGCAAGAGAGGCGCAAACCCACTTGTATACTGTGCAGATCTCCTGAATGAAATGTGTGCTGCAGTCACGAGTGGTGTGCAGCAGCTTTTAAATCTTGCTAATGTGTGGTCTAGGAAACTCGGAAATGCAGGTAGTTTCCAGCATCGGGGGATACGAGGTAATTTCAAGAGTAACACATCGGATTGGCAAGTTCAGACTGTGGTGTTTGGATAAGCACGAACAACTTTTGATTGCCTTTTTTCTTTATTTTGACTCTCTAGAGGTGGAACTGCAAAATTTATCTAAAGTTAGTATCTTTAAAGAGAGAAAAAAAGATAACTAAGTGAAAGATTAATTTGAGGGCCAGGGAAAGTTAAGTAATTTGAAAGTTTTATGTCTCGGAAAAGTCATGAAATTTAAAAACAAAGAAATTGTCGAAATCCTGTACTTAGTGATCAAATTCATCTACACAATTATGAGTTGACCTCTCTTGTTATTTTAGATCCCCATGCATCTTGACCTAGCATCTTTCTCATCAGTCAGAAGTTTTGCTGAGGAGGTTAAATCCACTTTTCCCCAAGTCCATGTTTTGATCAACAATGCTGGAGTTTACACCAATGAGATTCAAAGAACTGAAGATGGTTTTGAATCGCAGCTTCAAATAAATCATCTTGGACATTTTCTCTTGACCAATCTGCTGCTTGATCAACTCAAAAAATCAGCACCCAGTCGGTGAGCATCTGCTTTCCTTCAACCATTTGTTACAATGATTAGATACCTCTTAATCATATTTAGGCAAAGATTTTTTCAAGCTATTGTCAAAGTAAACTTATCTGATACTGTCTGCTTCGGCCTTTCAGTAAATGCATCTTAATGGTCCTGTGGACCTCTTGAGATTGTTAAGTGTTAGGTAGAAATGTTCACATTCAAATGTAAGCATGCAAGTCATTGGGTAGTACAAATGGAATCTAATAATGTGAACTGTTAGGCATTGAGTAATTCCATTCCCAAACAGTTCACCTCGACCTGGTGGTCCTTCCTGGTGGTTCCACAACCACCTTTTAATTTCATTTGAAATTTTTAAAATCTTTAAGTACCTATACATAGAAAATAGACCACTAGTCACAATAAGCATTAAATCACCTCCAGACTTGTTCTTTGATTACAATATCATGCAATAGATGTTGAATGCATGATAATTCTAAGGGACAAAGTGAATTTCAGACTTTGCCACTGCACCTACTGTGATAATTGAACCACTTCCCACAAGGAGCAATTCCATCTTTTGCCCAAGCCAAATTCTGGAACGGATTCTTTATTAAATGCAAAATTCCTGAACGTCAAAAAGACTAAAATCAATGTACTTTATATAAGTGAGGGATCAGAACAGAAAAGGGGCTTATGCAGGCTCGTGCAGGGGCTTAATTCTCTGTGTATTCTTGTGGAATCCAGTTTTCCTATCAAACATAGAAATAGAGGAAGTATTAGGTACAGAGTTTTAATAGATAAAATTGCAATTGTACAGAGACCAACCAACCAAGCTACTGGTCTGGTTCAAAGGTCTGGTCTGCGCCAGTCATTTTGCCAGGTGATGCCTGGCCCCCCAGACCCCCCGAAAATTGTTGAAGTTTTAACTCTATTTGGACGTATTTTGAGGTGCCATGATGAAAACTTTAGAAAATACTAATTGATTTAACACGGTGTTTTCATTAAGGACTCCTTATTAAAAGAGATAATCATCCTCAACAAAGGTTTTTTCCCACCATGAATTCCTTGAGGGGGGGGGGGGGGGGGGGGGGGGGGCAGATGATGAGTGAGCAAATATTAATCTCTTACAGGAGTTACTTTATTAGTTTTCAACTAAATATTTTGATGAGGAAGCATGTAGTGCAATGTCCTGAAAGATATAAACCTTGTCTATCAGTCTATTGAAGTCAATTGTAACTGATTCTTTATGAATAAGCATTCTGTCAGGTATCTTTTTGAAGTTTAAAATTTATCAATAATATCTAATGCTCTGTGCTGAGCTCTTAATTGATTCATTTACATAATTCTCCTCACTTGATTTCTGACATGAGGAACCCTCACCAGTCAAACATTGACATCTATTTCAAATTGCATCTCTATTTTCATTCTTTCCTTTTTTTTCTATCGCTCTGAGTATTTTTTCATTCTTTACTCCTTCAGGGTAGTGATTGTCACATCAACTCTGCATGAAACAGGAGTCATCGATTTTGAAAACCTTAATGCTGAGAAAGGATGGCCAAAAAATAATACAAGGGCTGGCTATAAAAACTCAAAGCTGGCTAACATGTACTTTTGCCAGGAGTTAACAAAAAGGTCGGTCGGAACAGATATCTCTGTCTTTGCAGTGTGCCCAGGACTTTGCTACACAAATCTTTTCAAGAACATGAAATGGTACCACTACATTTTTGCTCTACCCGTAGCTTTCCTGTATCTTCGATCTGCTGAACAGGTGAGTAAAGCCAGCTGCATTATTATTTATTTTTAGAATGATAGATCTTTAGAATATGCTTTTCAGTTTAGAGTATGATTTTTCCTATTCCGAAGGTAAAAATTGTTTTTGACCATATGGTTACACCAGAATGACAAACAAACAGTTGGGACTTTATCCTTGTAGTACAAAAAAATCCACCGCCACTCGGTGCATTTCCTGCTTGGATAGGAATGGATTTTTTGGCAGTAAGGTGTGCTTTTTCAAAAGGAGTGTTTCTATATGCAAACAAATGAACATTATAAAAACCACAAGTTGGATCGTTTTTGAACTGAAAGATTCAATTCAGAATGATGCTACCGCTAATTGTGCTAAACGACTCTGATTTGTTCATGACCTACATTCTTTCCAATTTTAAGTAGTGCGAGAGCAGAAATCCTACAATGCTTTTTAGTTTTTGCGATGTTAATGGTATTCTTTGGTGATTCTTTGGCTAAGTGTCTCATCTTTCACTGGACACTGGTAGTCAAGTATGAGGTTGATTCAATATTTTCCTAATTTTTTTTACAAATATGCAATTATGTAAAAACCACCCTTAAAGGGTAAAGTAGCAATTTCACCATATTCAAAAGCATAATGAAGCACTTTATCACTAGATGAGCGAGACTTGATGTTGAAGGAACTTGAAATTAAATCTCTTAAGATATTGCAGGTCTCAGAATCGGCACTAAGTGTGTTCATTGATACATTCTCATGAACTTTGGAACCTGTATGTATTTTGACGAGAGAAACTGAATATGGCATTAATTTTTTTAATAGATGTGAGAAAAAATGCGTATAACTTAGACTACCTAATTTTAGTCTATTTAAACTTATGAATGTTTATATTTAATGTTTTTAATAAATGTTTTTACTCCTGATACTTCATGCAGTTACCATACTGATGTAAAACTTAAGTTCAGTTGCCTCATTTAATCATACTCAGAGCATTTTATCACATTCATACCACATCACTTGAATGTATGAGAAAAGTTGCTGACAGCAAATTTCAATAAAGTAATTTTATTCAACTTCAAAACCATTTGTATCATCTTGAAGACGCCTTTTTTTCAGTACTTAATGTGTTTAATTATACTAGTTTTACATCTACTCAACATATCTTCCACACAATTTCCACAAATTTTTGGAACAAGTGAAGTATTTAATTGAAGTTGTGTGCTTTGCGGTCAGGAAAATTTTCTAGTTCTTGCAACACAAAACTTGCCACCATTCAAATAAATTTATGTCAAACATTGAGACTCTACATGGATTCTAAAATTAGAGGCTGTAAAGATTCCAAAAATGTAAAAATTCTGTTTCTCCTGACATCAGCGATATCGCCCCAATATTGTTTTCATACTTTATACCTTATATCACCTATAAAGGTAGAGGTTCAATGCCTTGTATCATATTTATGTCATTCATCTTTTATTGTTTCACATCGCATATAGTATCTTCCTTATTTTTCTCATTTTCTTATCATTCATCATTACAGTCTTATCATTCTTGTTCATTATATTTATTTCATTCATTCATTTTTTGTCTCTTGTCAGTTTCTCCTGAATTCCCTTAACTTTCGTTTGGAGGTTGGTTCTCTCTGTGCCTGTTCTCCTATTTTCCATGTATGCCAAGATTCAGCCTTTTCATCTTTTTACTGACCTACATTGATGAAAGTTAATTGTGCTTTTCAGGGATGTCAAACTGTACTGCACTGTGCCATCTCAGAAGATCCGAATCTTGAATCTGGTTTAATGTATCGAGACTGTGAAGTGTACAAATCTCGACATCAGTTCTCTCCAGAAATTGCGGAAAAATTGTGGGAATATTCAGCAAAAGCTGTTTCGCTTTAAGCTCTTGCTATTTCAGCTTTCCTAAACTGCACTGTCTTTTGTCATTTCGTTTGTCCCTTCATTGTCTTCTGATGATTCATCTTGTGAGGTTTAAAATACTACTGGCCTCATTTTTAAGGAAACTTCCTCCAAGTTTACTCTAAATGAAGAATGCTTCTAACCAGAGGCTGCGTAAATGTTGACAAAGCTTATTTTGAAATGTCATGATTCTATTGTGGCCTTTAAAGTTTCCAAAGTTTTTCTATTTAAGTCCATCCCTCTTTTATGGAATCAATCTTAATTACACTTGAAAATTATCATTGATGTAAACTAGTACCAAGCTCTATGTAAATATCTGCCCGTGGTTTTTTTGTAATAACTTGATGATTTTAAACAAACATGACTTATCAGCCACTATTAAAGGGGACATCAACCTATAAAACAAATTGAACCACTTTGAAAGCTTTAAGAATGCAACAAGATTATTTTTAATGAAAGCTCTTGGAGACAGCTCCACAGAAGCCAAAATGTAATACTAAATGATTCAGCATTATCATTATTTGATTTATGATGTTTTTTACAACCTCTAAAATTGAATGATCCCTGAAAAACATATTTTTCTAATGCCACTGTAAAGGAAAGCAGATCTAAAAGCGAATTTTTGGTATTTTTGCACATGTTTGCTCATGAATGTGTGGGGCAGCCATTAGGGAGCATTTGATATGACGGACATTGTGCTGCACACTGTTATCATGAGGAGGAATTCGATTTCTTTAATCTATCTCGTTTCCTTGGCTGGCAAGGAAACGAGAGCTCTCCCAAAGTAACACAGTTAGTGTTACATCATTTCTATTAAATACTGTGAGTAAAATTGCAGAAAAATTCTCTTATTAGCCTGGTTTTTCTTCAAAATGACACGCAATAAGTTCAATTTTTCAACCTTCCTTTAGGAGGTTGTAAAGAACATCACATCAAATAATAAAAATGTATCCTGTGCTTTACCCTTGGGTTTTATATACAGGGCTCTTTACCACCATTTTCTGTTTTTTGGAACTTCATAATTGGCATTGCTAAATTTTCCAGAATTGTATTTTATGTGCGTACCTACAATCAAGTGCTGATACTTATCCACCCCTCGAGTACTGCTGTTCTGTGATGAAAATATGTTGAAATGTATTCAGAGAAATTTTGCAACTGCCGTTACAAAAATTAAAATGTCAGCACCATGGGTTTGTCTACAGATAAAGAGATTTCAATTGAAAAATTCTAAGTTCTTTGGTTAGGCACTCTTTGAAACGGAAGGTGAAGCAAAACTCGGTACCTTAATGATAATACTATCGACTCTGATTATCTTATGTTGTCACATGCTCGCCCACCCCTCTGCAAAAATACCTCTGGTTTGACTGGGAATGCTCATGAAAGAGTTTTTACTTTTGCCATTTGGACGTATTTATGCTAAAAGGAACTACCTATGTTGCGTGCAAACTCTATGCTTATAGTTCCTCTTAGCATAAATACGTCCATTTCTTATTCTTTGTTGATCAGGACATGGCACCAACACCAATTTTTGAGTTGATTTCTCCTTTAATAATTATGTATACTTACTTAATTTTAAAATAAAAATAGTCATGGCTACTTCATAAAATCAGAGTAAAAAGTAACTAAAGAACGAAATGTGTTAATCTTTGTTATCATTTTTCACTCATTTGTCAAGAATGCATTAATGTGATCTGGATCTCTTATTTCATGAAGATGCTATAATTAGTTCAGTGCCTCGTAGTTTTTTATCTCAGATCTGCAGATAGAGTTTAAAGAAACTATCCCAATTTTATATTATCTTAGGTGCCATTGGATTTTCTACAAGTTAGTTGTTCTTTTCAATCCCATGAATCAAACAAGGAAGGCTGAGAATTTTTAGTTCAAGATCATAAAATTTTAAAATTAAAAAGAATAAGTACGTAAAAAAAGTTGTCTCATAAAATGAAGAGGGAATTTAACTGTCACTCATATATTGACAAAGTTAAAAATTTGGATTTTTTAAAGATAATTCAAGCTCCAATCTGAGTTATTAGTATATTGATTTTAAGAGATTTCTGTCCTGAGTAAATTAATCTTGTATCAGTAAAGATCCCCTCATTCGTAAGAACTAGGTGAATCACTTTCCCAATTCATCAGTTTTGTAGATGCATTTGCCACAAATGAGAATTTACAAATTGTTTTTTCTTCTTCAGAATAATTAAAGTCTCATTTAGAAATCAAAACACTGAAACTACTGAGCATTGATATTCTTACCCTCCCCCAGGAGGCATTGTATCATGATAGTGTTGACTAAGCTGTAAAGACATGAAGAAGCCAGTAAACTTACTCCTTGCTATGAAGCACAGTTACTTTTAGCTTATTTTTTAGGTCTTGTAATAGAGTTTTTTCTTTAGCTGAAAAGTGTTAACTAGTCAAGTCAAAATAGTATAGCAGGCCCACTCATTAGTTCCCAAAATACATCATTTTATAGAGTCGTTTTCGTCCCTTCTTTGGATGTTGTTTATCTAAGTACATTTTGAATGTTCTGTATTTTCTCTCTCCACCGAGTTATTTCTGCAAAGAAGGATTTAGTGCTTCTGTACGCCATGTAGGTATGTGAGGATTCAATGCACCCTGTAGACAACCTTAAGTCTGGTTCAAAGTCAATCAATTTAATTCAGTCTATTAGTGTATTCATTTCTTTTCGATTTTCGAATGTAGATTTTTTGACAGAGAAGCATGGGTATAGGTAAAATTTTCTGTTGATATTCCTCTGGAAATATCTTCTCTCATTGATCAGTGGAAGCCAAATGGTAAACATCTGTCACTGTAATCAGATCTAAAACAAGGATAAGATAAGCTTTGAATTTGATCTCGTAGGAATGAGTGTAACAGATTTATTGAGTTTATAACCAGAGAGCCTGTCAATGGTAGTAGTCATTGATAACCTAACTTTAAATGACATCACACCCAGTAGAAATCCTCATAAAGTAGTAAGCAAATTTAGGTGAAATCATACGTAAGTGAAGAAATAAAATTCAAGGCATCTAATACCATCAAGTGTATCCTATAACAAATAATTAAATTGCTTTCAACTATTAAAATTAATGCGTCTTGTATACTGAAGTATGGTTTCTGAAAAGAGATTTTGTGATGAAAGCGGTACCTAATGTGCACTATTTGTGTGATTTGTTATTTTATTGTGAACTGGAAAAGCCAATACGTAAGTAAGTAGGGTCCATCTTGTCTTTTAAAGAGCTACTCTTGTCCCACAGTTTTATATTATAATTTCTTTGTTGTGAATTATTCAATTTAAGTTCTAGATCAATAAATTTGTGAAAACTTTTCTGAAATTTTAGACGCCTTCAATCCTTTGGCATTCTGCTAACTTCTTTACAATTTGTGATGTGGCATGGCAAAATCATCTTTAGCTTCCCACAAAATCATCTTTAGCTTCCCAAAGTTCATTTAAATAATTTTTATCAACTCAGTTTTCTCATTCTGGAAACCAAGCTAAGCTGATTGCGGAGTATTCGACTTGTCTTGAGCAAAATTTACTCAAATCACCCACAGATTTTATGTAAATGAGAGGATGAGGGATCAGCAGCCATTTGAGCAGGAGACCACTGAACAAGCAACTTTTAACATCCCATTAAAAGTTTTTTCAGCTGAAGTGATTCAGATAAGAGACTTAAAATTATAGAAATATTTGTAGAAAGAACGACTGTGACCCAAGTAGCGCAGTGCAACGAAAATATTGAAGTAATTTTGTAGGATAAAGCGCGATAAAATCGCAAGTTTTTACCATGAAATTGCAATACTTTTACATTATTTGGTCACTATAAATGCCGATTTTAAGCAGTCAATAAAATGCGTTCCACTAGTGAGGAAGCAGGTAGGCAATTTGGGACGCAAGAACAGTTGCATTTGATTTAAATTTTATTGCAATAAATTTCCATGAGGGAAGCTCTTTCCTAGTAGCCCATGCAGATGAAACTCCTTGAATTTGTAACCGGGCAAAAATTAAAAAGAAAAAAAAAATTAGAAAACTATATTTACAGTATTCCCTTTTTCCGTCAATATGACGGAGTCTGGGCATGTAAGCATCTTAAGTTTGTAGGTTTCAAATTCCAGTCATAGTAGGACGGATAAGCATAACATATCGACGGTGAAAGTCGGCAATCACATAACTCGTTTGCGGTGTCTGAAAATCTCCGCCTCTACGTCATTTTTTTAAAGGAGAACAAATTGATATTATTTCTTGAAGTTTTTGTAGAATTTTCTTCGCATTGAGAAGAAAAATCATGACAGTTTTAAAGAATTGCCGTTGAGTAGTTTTCCATTTAAAAAATAAAGTATGACAGGAAGTCTGCGACGTCGCAAACCGAGTTATGTGATTGCCGACTTTCACCGTCGATATGTGCATTTCTGGAAGAAAGCATGTTCTTAACTTTCAGGATATCATCTTCACCTAGAAGGTTCGAGTCGGTGTCTTTTCCGGTCTTTTCAGCCTTTGATCGCTCTGAAAATTTAAATTCCCGCGAGAGTCTCCCCTCCATGCAGGGGCACCAACTCAAGCTGTCAGTATTGCTTGTTTCATACCGTTACCTCTTTAAGGACTTTCGAAATTGGAAGTTGGTACAGAACTGTACACATTTTGTTTAACTTGCCGTAATGGCTGACCTTTTGCTTCGTTTTTCTCTGTCTATTGGATAAAGAGGGCGAATAGTTCAAAGCATGATTAGAATTTAAGGTTACTCCCTACTGTGTCGAAGTTTTTACTGAAAGTACGAAAATTGCTATCATTTGAAATTAATTTCTTAATTTAAATGTATCCGGGACATCTCTAGGCATTATTTGTGTTGCCTTCAGTGAGAATTTCAATCAGAGGCTAGTGGTCCAGGAGGACATGGTTTTTGTTTATTTCCCCTAGTTTCAATTCCTAATCAATTGGTTTATCTGTTATTGTTGTGTTGAAGAAGCAGTTAAGTGCACTGAATTGATGCTGCAAAAGCTAACGAAGAAGCTATAATGTTCCAGACATTCTGTCTACTTCATTGAAGCCTTAGCGAGCAAGGTACACCAAAGTAGTCTGTCTGTATTTTGTAATCACTTTTTAAGATGTTGAACTCCCAGCTCTTATCATTCATTTGCAATGCTTTCAAGCTTAAGCATTCGCATGATTCTTTTTTATCGCCGTTGAATTGCTCCTCCCGCACTCTTTCCGACAGTTCGTCTTTTGAAGTTTATCGTTCGGTTTTTAATTTCATCAGTAGGCAGAACCATTCCATGCAGTATTTACCATCTAAGAACTTCTATGATCGTAATTAAGTTCTCTAACAGTGTCAACTCATGATCATCTTTCCTTTCTCCCTCTGGAACTCATAACTTAATTTCCACTGTAGGCATACTTTTATTTTCGCATGAGAGGTTATGTTGCTTTGTTTAAAACATCCTGAAGAGGTTATTGACGCTATCAATGGTGTGTTATCATAGGGATTCTCCGTAGTATCAAATTGGATCCAAAAAATAACATTGGCATAACCTCTTTCAATGCTACCAATCAGAAAAAGCGATATATATCGCTTTACTGTGACGTGGCACTATTAGCGTCTATCCTACACTGATGTTTTCTTGAACTAATGTTCACCCAGTGTTGCTGTCAGAAGCTTTCCAAATCACTCATACTCACATTTAGAACTACGCATCTTGGGTCTCATGCAGGCATTCTAAGAGCTCTTGCCAAATTTAACCTGAAATCATCAAAACAAGGGATAGAATGTAATTAAAAGTGTGCATAATTGCATCTTGCACCTAACGGCATCACCCAATTTGCAAAATTAACCAAGAAATGAGCACTCAACTGCACAGAAATGCTTTATCTTGCACTGAACAGTAACTATCAATCCACCAATACCCACTTCATTGGGTGTTAGAGTCAACGTTTAATAAATTTATCCACTTTTAGACTGTCATAAGATCGTCTGACATCATTTTAGTACCGAAAGTAAATGCAAGAATCAAGATAGTAGATCTCCTGTCACAGTTTAAAATTGTGTGAACTTGTTTCAACTCTATTTTAAGATGCAGTTGGTCAGCCACATTATGTCTGCCTCCTTGCGGTGTAGTGGTCGTAGCGCTATTCCTTCAAGCAAGAAGTCCTTTGTTCAATTCCTGGCCAGATTACCTGAGTGTAATGGTTTTAGGAAATTGCCAACTGGGGCTGGATTTGAAGGGTTCTGTTCTATCCGAACCACAGAGGATCGTGACGAAACGCCTCATTTTTTTATTCCGGCCCATGGGTGAGATCCAGCCCATTCCTTACGATCCAACCGAAAGATAGGATTAGGCAAAAAAACTTAAACAAATGTATAACTACCATGATGGCCACCCTTTGAATATTTTTCCCCCGTGGAACGCTGCGGAACTGGTCTGAAATGTAGAAGATCCTGATCCATCGCATTCCAAGGATTTGAAAAAAAGCCCTTAAGAGAACTGCAGATTTAACAAAATTGACAACATCTGAGAACCATTTGAAGAATTGGTAAAAAAAAAGAAGAAAAAAAAAGGTCATTGGCAAAAATAGTGAAGGAATCGTCTTACCTCTATTTATGTAGGAATACATAGGGTAAACTAAGCAAAACTTTCCTTACTCCATGTATTTATTTGTACTGAATAGTATCTTGTTACGCACTTGCAAAACAAGATTGTCTGAATCTCTCATATTACTTATTGTGATGAATTCACTGCCGCAGCTGATCACTAATTTGCTACTAAATCTACCGGTGGTATCATCACAGGTTATGATGTTGGTACTGACAGATTAGTCTTAAAATACAGTTAATCAGTGTTACTGCTGACCATACAAACAGAACTTCTTTACCAGAATCAATTAATTTAACCACTCACTGAAGAATTAGTGACTCTTTATTAGAATCACCTGACATCACTTTACTGAAACACGGATACCTCCCATATTTGACTAAGTATTCTACTTTTTTATTTATTTTTTACAGAAAAGATAAGGAATCCCTCCAGGAATTCTTGGGTACTTGATCCTCAAATCAACATCATAATAATTTATCAAACATTGATTGTTTCATCATGCACAACAAGGCAAATGTAAAACAAGTTGTCCTGCAGTTTTTATTGGATCCCTCCATTTAATATTACCTCTCATTTTTGTTGCAGAATTTTTTGGATGACTGAGAGCTACGAAATTGGCAAATCTAATTTTGTTACGAACCAAACTGACTCATGTAAGTCTTAACACTCTAAATTTGTTACATAACTAAGTTATTCTTGTTGCAAATAAACAAGAATATCATGTTTTAATCAACAGACAAGCAGAAAACCGATTGCTCCTCTAATAAATGAAATTAAAAAATATGAAAAATTAAGTATATAGGGGTGAAGGGGGGGCAGAGTCTTTCAGGCCTCCATATCTTTACATTCCTGTCTTTCCACTGAATTTCCCACCAATTTCAAAAGTGACAACTATTTTCTTTTGTCTTTTTAGCTTGTATTTTAACATGCTTTGAAGTGTCTAAGCCCATATATTGAGTTCAGTGCACACCACACCTTCTAAATGGTTTAATGATATGTGTTCAAAAGACTGCATAAGTGCTGTATCTGCTTAATAGAACTATTTTATTCAATTATTGCATGATACGCATTCATTTTTGGTGTTTATAGGATATCACTATAACATGGTTAAACTAATTAATTACATCAAATGAAAAAGCAAAAGGGAGAAAGGTTTAAAGAAAAATAGAAAAGTTTTTGGTGATTTAGCCAATTTGCACTTCAATTCATTGTACAATCGAAATTCTCATTACCCAAGGGAAAAGCTCTTTCAAGTACAAGTTTTCCTCAATGAGAAAAGAGCTGCTCAGTGCAACACTATTCATAACCAGTCAGCGAGGCAACTGCAGGTACATTTCAGCGGGGCGATTATTGAAATGACATATAGTCGATATCATTTCAATAATCGTCTTGCAGGTCTTATTGGACCTATCATTAGCGCAGCGCAGCCTCTTGACTTTTCTGCTTCCAAGCTTTGAGAGGTTGTGAAAACCAAGCAGAGTTTTGAGCAACTTAAAATACTAAGTACTTAGCTTTTAATATAACTTTTGATAGTGATCGTAGTTTTTATCGTGATACGTATCTATTGGGACCAATTGATAATGATTTCTTTCATTTTTTTACTTTCAGGTTTACACAAACAGAGCAAATAGGTGGATACCGTTCTACTTGTGTCAATGGCGTCCAGATAAAAGAGGACACAATGTTCGATCCAAGCATGCAACAACAGCAACAGTCACAGCAACAGCAAGTGCAACAACAACAGCAACAACAGCAAGTGCAACAGCAAGTTCAACAGCAACAAGTCCAGCAAGTACAGCAACAACAGCAACAAGTTCAACAGCAGCAAGTCCAGCAACAGCAACAACAGCAGCAGCAGCAACAAGCTCAATCACAAGCGCAGCAACCACAGCAGCAGCCGACTCTCTATGCTGTGGAAAAAAAAGATGCTGATGGAAAAACTACTATCACTGAATTTCCATTTTGTTACAATGTTAATATGCTACAGAAAGTTCATACACAGCCGAATACAGCAACAACTGGCACGGCCACAATTGATGACAAAGGTTGCTATCGTTTTGAAGTAGCAGCTCAACCATTCGGCTATAATTACACACTGGTGAATCAGATGTCTCTTGCTGCAGCCGCATCAACAGCGAGTTTTAAATGTGATGTTTGTGGTTTGCTCTTTGCACACATAACATTATTAAACCATCACAAGCGAATTCACCAAAATAATGTTCAAACAAACACAGCAACAACGCAACAGCCACAACAGCAACAGCTGCAACAACAACAACAGCAGCAGCAACAGCAGCAGCAGCAACAACAACAGCAGCAACAACAGCAGCAACAACAACAACCACCACCACCACAACAGCAGCAAACAGAACGGACGTTCAATTGTGACTTATGTGGCGCTCATTTTGGTCAGCTCTCTGACTTAAAGTCCCATAAAACAAACCATCACAAACTAAAATGTTGTAACACATGTGGTGTGGAAGTTCAATATGAGTATGCCAAGGGCAAGAAGGCGAAATTTCTGAAATGTGAAAATTGCATAGCCAACACCCAAACAGCGAATGCTTTTGTTCAGGCAACTGCAACACATCAAGACTCAGGTACTGAGGCAACTCTAAATGCTGTAACGCTTCACACTACTTCCCTGAACACTACACTGGGTACAAGCACGCTTAGTATTCAGCAGACTCCAATTATGAAAGGAAATTATCCTGTCAAAAGACGAGGGGTGGCAACTGTCACCAAGTGCCATAAGTGCAATGGTTCTGGCATCATATTTTTAGGAGGTAATAGAACTAATGTAGAAAAACCGTTTCATTGCAATGTTTGTGATGGTACGTTTTCCAGGTATTCTTCTTTATGGAGTCATAAAAGACTCCACTCTGGTGACAAACCCTTCAAGTGTGATCTTTGTGGCTTAGCTTTTGCCAAAGCTGCTTATTTAAAAAATCATGGTCGTGTTCACAGCGGAGAAAAACCATTCAAGTGTCAGGTATGTGGAATGCAGTTTTCGCAATCGCCTCATTTGAAGAATCATGAAAGAATTCACAGTGGCGAACGTCCATATCAATGTGAAGTCTGTGAAAAGACATTTGCAAGACATTCAACTCTCTGGAACCACAGACGGATACACACTGGTGAAAAACCATACAGGTGTGAAATCTGTGGCTCGGCCTTTAACCAGGCAACTCATCTGAAGAATCACGCCAAAGTTCACACAGGAGAGAAACCCTATCGCTGTGATATCTGTGATGTTGGTTTCTCAGATCGGTTTGCTTTAAAAAGACATCGAGGCATTCATGAAAAGTATGGTCGTTTAAATGCCAATAACCAGCAGCAGCCTGGAGTCCAACAGACTGCCCAACCCACTCAACCCCCTACTCAGCAAGCACAACCAGTGCAGCAAGCTCAGTCAGCGCAACCACCTCAACCTACCCCACAAGTCCAGACCGTCACTGTTCAGGCTGCACAGCCCACCGGGATGGAAGAGCTGTATAAATGTGAAGTTGGTACCACTATAGCGTTTCCAGGTTGTTCTCGGCCACAAGACGGTAAACAATAAAGTAAAAACTCTAGAACATTAAATTTTCTTGATTAGGCCATGCAAGATGCATTACAGGAGTGCCACTTTTTTTTTTTTTTTTTTATTAAAGGTCGTTTCCTTACAGAGGTTTGTTTAACCTATTACAAACTGTGAATGGAATGCTATGGACTTCTTGGTTATTCTTCAACCTCTCCAATTTTTTCAATATTTTTATTCCCTCTAGATTTGTGGGGTATCATGAAAGAGGAAAAAAGCCTATGAAGTGCTATACATTCTTAGTCATGATTACCAAAATTTCCTTCATTTTAGGGCCTTTTTTTAGGCTAAAGGAACTCTAGATTTAATTGGCACTCTATTGAATAAAGAGTTCAAGAAGAAAAGCGAAAGGCACTTAAGTTGCTCTTAAGAGAATAGTGGAACTGTCGAGGAAAACTCAGTCTATTTGGAATTTCTTATAATCTGTTCACAAGTATACTCCTTTAGAAAATAATATCGGACACTCCAGTACTTCTGAAAAGCTAGAGTGGAAAAATTATGATAAAAAAGGAAATGAACCTTTTTGAAAAGACTGATCCTAATTTAATGTTTGAATGATAAAGTATCCTTAATCGTTCCTCTCTGTATTGGTATCATCATAAATGTTATTACCCAGTACCATTTAACCATGAATATTCCCTTAGAATATAAATTTACGCATGCCATGCCTGGAGGAACTTTTTTATAATTTTCCTCACCTCTTAAAAACAAGAACGCAAACATCACATTGAGATAAAATAATAACTATGGTGCGTTAGCATTGGGGATGTCAAAAATGTCTCTGGTGATCTCTAGATGCTGGCTTGATCAAACCTCCCCCCTCCATCTGCAGCAGCCTGATTGTTGAAATTTTGTGTTTGTCGGGACGACATAGATGACATAAGTTAACAGGCGGAGCGAGATTGGTCGGCTATATCTTATCGCTGCTTTGTCGTACCTTTGTCAGGTGGAATGGACTACATACTGTCGGAAACTTAAGAGGCACCGTTAGCTTGTTGTGAGTTCAACCCGACATAGGCACGACAAAGCAGCGATAAAACATAGTCGACCAATGACGCTCCGCCTTTTAACCCATGTCATCCATGTTGTCCTGACAAACAAAATATTTCAACAATCAGGCTGCAGTTATGTTCAGATTCCTAAGATGCAAAGTTTACTGCTGAAGCAGTTAAGTCAGCATTTAAGTACCACCAAACAAAGTTTTGATATCCAGGATGCCATCCTAGTATTTTATTTTTGTCAATGTGCAGGTATTCATGGACTATCTATTTTGAATGAGTGCCCATCTAATTTTATGAATTGGTTTTAAATACCTTTTCCTAGATTCTCCTATTTTTTGGTGATTTCTCGATCATCCCGGAATGATTTAATATAATCTCCAACTACCTCAATTCTAAATAAAGTTAAAAGAATCTACCCCTAGAGAAAAGTGTAGGCAATATTGATTGTTCACTTTTGGCATCACAGATCACATGTACAGTGTATGTAAATAAATGAATTTTATCATTCATATGGAATCGCAACGTTACTTGACTGGATCAATTTTTTGCTGTATGTGTGCATAAATACTCAAAAGTAGTGTATCCAAATGATAAGTTGATTTCTAGAATAAATCCCCTTATATAATCTTCGTTCATCTGTGAGAGTAAACTTTCAAAATAATAAGCGACTATTATTTGTCTTTCAGTGCATTATTTTTAATTAATTTGTATTATGTTTTTTGAATAAATTTGAACCGTAGTCAACTTCAAAAAGAATTGCATTTGTAAAAATTATTTTCTTGTTTAATGTAATTGATTTTTAAAATCAGCCTGCTATGTGCTATTCAAGCATTTTTCACTGTAAATAACTTGCGTTACATTATGAAAATTAGTTTAATGATCATGCATTTTCCTGATGAATCATAGGCCCTGCGGGTACTTATTTTAAACAAATTGTTAAAGATCAAAATAACACTGCTAGTTTCAATTTGTGAATTGAAATCGAAATAGAACCTTATGAGTCCCAGAATAAATATAGATTTTTAAAATCAATAATTTTTGGTCATTTCTTTACCTGTGAGACCTTACAACTTTCAGTGCAGTATGCATATTATTCAATAATAAATTTCTGCATTGGATTACTAAATAGCCATTTAAAAAAAATGTTATGAGAGTTTTCTTCAAACTTGGTAGATATGAAACTACAGCTGAGATAAATTGAAGAAATTGCAAGGTTTCGAAAAATTTGATTTTCCAATTTTTATTACTTTTCAATGTTTGCCAACCGGGAGTGGAATACTTCTGAATGGATCAAATTGAAATTTGGCAAGAAAATTAATTAGTTTCAATCAATGAGGTGATTTTTTGGAGGCAGCTGTTTCTAAAATAATTATCAGAGCTATGATAATTTAAAAATGTGAAAAAAGACTTGGTTTTCCGCTTTCTACTGCTTATTCATGTTTGCTCACCTGCAGCAAGAAGACTACTCAAAGGATCAAGCTAGATATCAGTTGTGGTGATACTCAAGGTTTAAGGGAAGTGTCTTATTTGTGACAGATGTTTCTGAATGAGATATCAACGAAGATATGACACACTGTTAAATTATAGAATGAGGCAGATGTCGTTGTTTTCAATTTTTATTTTCTCCTTACTTAAAGTGCAAAAATCGTGTAGGGGTCAAAATTTAGTAAGGTAATTGTCAATGTTCTTAAGATATAAGCATACGTGGAAAAAAGATAATGGGCGACTAGAGAAGGTCTGAAGAAGAAAAAAACGTTTCAAGTTTCCTTTTGAAAATTCCACATAAGAAGCGATTCACACAACAAAAATTAATTCCTGAGCAAGTTATTCACAAGTATTTTTAACACGGATCAGATGGAAGTTAGATCATACAAATAAAGCCATTTATATTTTTGCCATAAAACCAATGTTAATTGTGAAGATTTACATCTTGCCTAGGAGTTGATTCTTAGATTTCTCGTTTTTTCATTTATTTTCCTCCTGAAAATTTGGAGAGGAAACATGTCTAGTGGTGCTTTAATTCATACTCTGTTTAGTGGCCCATTAGCGTCACCAAGTTAAAAATGTGTAAGATAACATGTCCCAAAAAAAACAGTGTCATTTTGAGTAAATGCCATGTTATTTCCCCAAGGTTTTATTCCATGAAATTTCTAAAATATTTTAGAGAAGAAGATATTAAAGACTTTAAGCAATTTTATTGGAAATATCTTGCACACAAAAAAGTGAAAAATACTGATAAAACAAAGAATTATACAAATATTTACCAGCTACAAAAAACTGTAACACCTACTGGTGGCCCAGCTTCATAAAGCCGATTTTCTTCCATAAAAGGAAATGGAATACGTGCGATGACCTGCGACTGCAACAGTACATTTGATGCAATTTATGTATTTGTAATCAAGAGGACTTTGATTCATTTCTGGTCTTGTCTTTTCCTCGCTGTGACAACTACAGGCAATTCAGCTGCCTGTTTAGTTATGATAAAGTAAAATTCATTTTTGGTATGAGTTACAATGAACTGATAGGTTGAGAAAATCATAAACCCAATTTGAAACACACTTAAAAAAGAGAAAGAAATAAAAGCAAACCAGCAATAATCACATTAAAAACGGTCATTTACAGTTCTAGGACCTATCTGTGCAGTCTTGAATAAACTTCAAAGGGTTAAGAAATACCCTAGTAATAATAGAGGATCCAAAATCCAAATTAAGATACTGACTGCACTAAAAATAATGACATTGATTGCAAAACTTACTTAAGAAATTAATTACAATGATGATTCATTTTGAGAGCAATTTTGAGAGTAAGTTGGACTGCATTTTGCAATATGGAACTATAAATTCTGGCTCATCTAAAAAACACTTTTGTGCGTAGGGAAACTAATGGCACATACGTTGTTTTTAAACCAGGCTGGACTTTATAGTTCCTAATTGCAAAATGTAGTCCAGTTTACACTGCTAGATGGAGAGTTATGTTACGAGGAGGGACCCAAAAAAAACCGGAATTTTGCTGTAACTTGGCAACGATGGAAAATATTCGGCTCCACTGCTAGGAGGTGTAACTAGAAGCCATGAAAAGTCACTAGGCCAAATTTCAACGCCGTAGCACATTTTTTTTCCCTTGGCAAGACTTGGTTTAAGGGGTTGTCTGGCGAGTTCGTCGTTTTTAAAGATGGGTCGATTTCAGTAACAACACTTAGAGCTCAAGTTTTTCTCTCTTGCTCGATAAAAACACGACTTCCTCTGTTAACCTTTTAAAGGGCTGCTTCTAAAGGACAGGCCTCGTCAAAAACTTCAGTGTAAGTACGGTTTTTCCCTTTAAAATGGTGCTGTATCGCCCGAAACCCCTGTATGGCTCTGAACCGCCATCGCCATTGAATAGAACCAATGCAAATAATGGGAAAAATTGCACTTTTGTAAACAAGGGTGGTTACAGATCATTAAATTAACTACCGATATCACTTGAATGTAATACAGAAACATTCAAAACATTACTGTGAAACATTTGGGCCTAAAACGCGTTGTTGCCGAATTGATCCCCCATGCAGCGTTCTAGCCGGTGACTGCCACTGGGCGTCCAGCCAAAGTTCGAACAATAAATCACACTCTAAAACGAAGAAAAACATTTATTCACTTATGTCATGAGTGAAACATGTTCCTTGCAAGATTCACTCCAAAAATTGACAGAGTTAGCCGCGTATTGCCTGTGAAAATCACACATCTTCAGAAACGACGAACTCGCCAGACAACCCCTTAAACAAAGTCTCGCCAAAATAAAAGAAAATAAGCTACGACGTTGAAATTTGGCCTAGTGACTCTTCATAGCTTCTAGTTACACCCTTTAGTGGTAGTACCCTGATATTTTCTACCGTTGCCAAGTTACAGCAAAATTCCGGTTTTTTTGGGTTCTTCCTCGTATAACAGACAGCATCCCACTATACATGGGGTGTACCCAAGTACCAGGACTGACTTAGGAACAAGGAAAAGAATGCAAATAGCAGGTTGTTTATTTTTGCTTTACTAAAGCTCAATTCCTATTAATTGACGTCAAGTTGAACTCGTTTAGTAAACAATTTGGAAACTTTTGATAGATTTAAACAGAAAAAATGAGACCTTCTACTGATTTTTTTCATCAATATTTTAAGAACTTAACGTTCGTTCTTGCTGTCCTCGAACACAGGTAAATCTCTATCTTTTTTTGAGATATCGACTGTCAAATTTAATGCTTTTTTGAGTCCCCCATTCCACTGAACTAACACCATCTTCCTGAATCCTTCAAGTGGAATGATAAAAAAAAACTGCACAGACAAAACAAACAAAACAAAACAGTAAAAACAATGCTCATGGAGCACGCTTTGCATTTCATTTCGAGTTTTTGTCGGTGCCATTTTTAGAATTTGCACACAAATTTGGGTAAAAACTCAGTGATCACTCCTACACTGCTTGAAAAAAAAAAACACCGTGAAAATTCCGCTGAATGGGAAAATATTGCATACGAATCTGTTGCAGAGTTTTGTCCTACATTACTAAAAAATTCAGCCCGTAGAGTTTCCAAGCAAAATTCTGAGAGATCGTCTTTGGAGGAGTAAATACATCTTAGTTATTTTCATTTCGATTACAAATTATCATAAAACTGATAATTTTCGACCAAAAGAGCTCAACTTGAGGTCTATCAATAGGAAAAATGCTATTCTTTTGAATGCAACTACGAGCAACTCATCAGCTGCATTTGTTTCTAAGTTATAGCACCAGTCCCATTACTTTAAGGACGCCCCTTGTTCTTTTAAACAATCTTTAAACTAAGAGCATTCACACACTTTAATTGCATCTCAGTGTCAGACTATGAAAAACGATAAATCAATTCTGGATTATTGATCACATTATGATGTTGTTAAAATTGATGCACGTTTTCAAACGCTGATGGGAAATATTTTCCTATTTAGATTGGATGTTCACCAAGAAATTATGACTTAACTTCAAGTTATTTTCTGGTTGAGTTGACCTTTTTTATAAAGAGGCTCATAAATAAAAGAAGGAATACTTCCTTCAATAAATAAATAGATAAATTATTATATAAAATCAACAAAAGAAAAAAAACAAATGCAAAAGCAAAGAAAACAAAAATATAAAATTTTTAAATTGATTTAACTTTCTGTAAACACAATAAATTACTCAATGTTTTTCCTGGTACTTAATTTTTCCAATCTATTATTTTTACAGTTAAAGTTTTCCCAAATTATTTCAAAGTGATGTTCATTCAAAGTAACGAAACTTACAAAACTTTTGACCGACAGTCTGACAGTTAATTTAAGCTCCACAAGGTCAAATGATACATCGAAGATGAGTATTGAGTCAAGATTAGCTTTAGCTTTCAAGGCAAACTCAATAATCCCATTGGATTTCTTCCGCTTTAAATTTGATGTAAAAATTTTCAATAATTGATTCAGGACTCATCTTCAATTCATTATTTCATAGATTCGCCTTATAAGTTTAATGAGGGTGTGATAGGCTGGCTTAAGTATTTAATTAATGAACTTTGGCAAGTTCTCTAGATTATTATACGTAACATGTTTCTGTCATCATTTTTCGTCTTTGTGACTTAGGAACATATTCCAGCAATGTTTGATAGAAGAACCCTGTTTTGGCATGTTTAGATGATGCTCAGCACCTTGTCAGCAGTTTATATTTGTCTGAAAGCTTCGTGAAAGCTTTATAGACTTCACAGATTTGAAGACTATCACCATATTGTACAGGATAATGTGTAAAAGCAACTTTCAAAAAAATCTGAGAACTTTCAACCTGCACAGTTGTCATCACTCCTGAAGGAAGGATTCTCTCTGTACTCAACCAACTTGAGAACCAGCTTCTTCACATCGACCTGTAAATTCTGTTGTTTACATAAGCGATCCAAGCAATCACTCAATTTTTTCTCCTTCAGAAACTGCACATACCTGCAGGCTGTAAAGGAAAAAAATGTTTATGGAGTTAGAAGTACAAGGAGAGGAATTAGGTGAACTGAAATTGCTTTGAGCGAAACAAAAGGAAAACTACAAATAAATTTCTGAGTGTCTGACCAAGAAAAAGCATTTATGACCTCTAAGATTTCGGGTGGTTCATTAGATGTTGTTAGTGTTAAAGACAGATACTAAATCAAATCAGGCATTGTGTTAACTGATATGTCGGATAATCAATTGTTTCCTCTTGGATTGAAATAGGGTTTTTCAAAATTTTGTCTGACTAGAATATAATATGCGAAAATGGATACAAATTCTCCATTAAATGCTAAATTATTTCATGGTGGTTTCAAAGATTTTTGGTGCTAAAATGAACAATTACATTAAAATTACTGACTACATATTTGATACGAAGCATGGCATTTAAAAATTGGACTGTAAAAATTAGTGTGGAAAATTTTGAACATTTCTTAGAACGCCCTTTCAAAATCAAGCACGATTTTGTAGGTCTTCATTTGACAAACTGCTTGGACATTGCCTTAAATATGTACATTTTGATAGGTGGAGGAGAGAGGGAGTGAATAAAACTTGATTTCCGAATTTTGCCATCCAGTAATAGGGAGAAGTTGTCTTTGGCATGTAAAAAAAGTGTGTCAATGGATGAATGAGAGAAAAATTTCTCTAGGATTCACTTTAGAGAACAGTCTAAAAAGCAGAGGATTGGAAAACAAAATTGAATTTCTTACAGGATTTGGAAAGAATAACAAATGTTACTTACGATTTTCAAAACAAACATGATGAATGGCCCAAGCGCCAAACAACTGCACAGCAGGCTCTGAACATTTTAACAAATGAATATACGGAGTAAAAGATCGATATGCAGCAATCTCGCGACCAGGTGACTTCCACTTGTTAGTTATTACAAAGTGAATCTCCTTTAAAATATTGGCCCGTGAAATTTTCTCCAGAGTCCAACATTGCTCCCCATCACTTGCCAAGTGAACAAGAATGTCTGCAGCATAGAAGCTTATGTCTATTTCTTCATTCTTGAGAAAAGATCTGAAATGAGGAAAGGTTCATCATCATTCACCTCATTGCTTCACTGTAAACGAATGTAATAATACCAAGCATCTAGGGCTGTTGAGCTAGGATTCGGAATGGTTTCATAGGTACGGATGATCCATGACACAGTGAAAAGTCCACTAACTGAGATTTTGCTATCACTGTTGAGTCCAATGGGCCAGTTGCGCTGGTAACAGAATCGTGTTTTGATGCTTGATTATTGTAGATTACCTAAAAATAAGAAGATCTATCAAAACAGTAACTTTCTACGTTGAATATTAAACGAGATATCGCTCTTCAAAAAGTCGGGTTGTTGCTGTCATCCACCACGGTAGTGCATAACGTGGTATGTACTACCGCGGTAGATGACATCATACATCAAATGTTTCAAGGCGCAATATCTTGGTTAATATTCAATGTAAATGTTGCTGTTTGGACTGATCTCCTTATTTTCAGTTGATCTGCAAGAATAAGGCATCAGAAGACAATTTTGTGACCAGCACAACTGATCCATTACAGTATCTGTCATATCTCTGTCTTGTGCCAAGTTCAGCGACACTAGAGAGTCCAGGATTTACATGAGACTGTGTACACATGAAGACAAAACACAGTGCAAGCATGAGAAAATTAGATTCCTCTGGAGGAACTCTTATTCGGGCTGTAGGGCTGTTACTATTATTTTGTACTAATTCTCACTCAGATGGGGCTGCTTTGGAGTGGCTGATTCATTGAGTTGAGGTCTGAGGCTCAATGGTCTTACATTTGATAACAACGTTTGGATTATTAAAACTATACGTCGGAGTTCGCCAAAATTTACTTTTCAAAACCTCCTGCTTGGGTTTGAGTTACATTCTGACTACTATGACCGGCCGTGAATCGGCAGCCTCTTTGTAGAGAGAACCTGATGAGTTAGCTCATTTTTCTGTAGTATAGTGTGCAGCTGTGCCGAGGAAGACTTCTCTGTCAACACTCACAAGGTACTTAAGTTCCTCCAGTGAAAGATTCATTTTTAAGAAAAGTTATAAATATCTTTCCTAGAAATTCAAATACAATTCGGATGTAATGTAAAAATTGCGAATTGAATACACTGAAGATCAGAAAGAAAAATTCTCACAGGTAAAAACAAAAAAATCTTTATTAGGTCAGAGGAAAGTTTCGTCCAAATTCATACTGCACTCTTAACTCAGCATAGCAGAGTGGCACTTACTGCCCCCCCCCCTTGTTGTATTAAGAAGATAAGAGATGTTCCTTCAAATAATAACTCTCACTGACAAGTGACTCGGCTAAATAAAATTATTTTTCATGAAATATGAGTCGTTTTCTTGATTAACACAAACATAAAATACTAGAAAGTTCTAGAGTCTTAAGGTGAGCAGATCATTGAAGTCTCATCAACGCGGAAAATTCTACTACCATCCATAGATCACACTATTCCTACTGTGCTATACATTCTTTATTCCGTTTCTATCATCTTCTGCATATGCATATTATCATATACAACAAGTAATACTATCCATTATTCCATTCTTTTACTTTTGAACGGTCATTTAATATTTGACCACAAATAAATCTGAAATATACAAAATTTACCTTAATCTTGAAACAATTTTTGGTTTCAACAAATTCTTCCTCAGACTTTTAACCTCTGCAATGTTACTAAGAATACCAATTATGTCAGTTTCTACAGGCCCATCACCAGAGAAAGCATCAAGTGCTAACTCGAATAATTCTAGACCTTTGTTTGAGATAAAAGTACTGCATGTTTTTGGCGATTCATCTGAAACAAATGATGTTGTAGATCAAATAAAAAAAAAATGAAAATTAGAATGATGCAATACCTAATTTTATACTTGCAGTGATTTCTGTTTGGATCCCAGACTTGAGGAGAAAAAAGCAGTTTGAAACTTAGGAGCATTCGAACTTAAATTTACTACATTGTGTGTTGCCACTATTGATTAAAAATATGTTTCAAAAAAAATCCTGCAACATCATCACGGGTCCTTGGTGAACTTTGATATACAGGGTATACCAGGATTAAGTATGAATATTGAAGGAGTCGATTCTTTGGGTCAAAAGAAGACGTTTTTGTGGTATAACTTTTTTTCCAAAAACGCGTTCCCTGGGGGCCCCATTATCTCCCTATTATCCATAATCAGTCCCTATTATCTCAAAAACAATGAGTTATAGCGAAAAATTGCAGGAGACATTTTCTCAATATTTTTCAACGCTGTATCCAGTGGTGCCGTCAAATATTGATTTTTGTTGCTAAAAACATTACTTTTGGCCCATTTTTAGGTTCGATACCACCTTAAACCTCCCCTCAAAATGAGTTGTCCCTTTTTTGGAGGTCAAAAATGAAAAGAGCGCTAAAAATTACCCGTAAATACCAATTTTCATTAATATTGGTTGATAAAAATTTTCACAGTGTTAAAAACACGATTTTTTTCCTCCAACTTTGGGGGTTCGTGGCCCCCAGGGAGAGCGTTTTTGGAAAAAAATTTATACCACAAAAACTTCTTTTTTTGACCCAAAGAATCGACTCCTTCAATATTCGTACTTAATCCCAGGACATCCTGTGTACTACTAAGTTAAAATAAAGTCCTCTTTTGCACCAAAGCCAAACAATAATGTGAATCAAACATGTAGGAGCTGAGATACTTACGAGTGAGCATGCACTACTTTCTAACATGCCACTGCACAGCAGAGAAGTTACGGGTCTACCCTCCTAACTATTCGGCACTTGCACTTGGTTTGGAGTCCAGTTTTAGGTCTTGCTTAGGTTTAGATTGAGTTCAGTTTTTATCAGGAGCCCATGGGCTAGATTGATTAAAGCATGGTATCTTTTCCTTTCCTACATTCATCAATTCTATTTCACTGACTCTTTGCGATTTCAAATTTGACCGCTTTGACTGCTTTAACAGGTGAGGCCTGGACGGATTTCAAATCTTCAAATGAAAAACAACGACCGTTTGTTATTGTGAATGCCAATGAACATGCCACACATGAGTAAGGCATGAATGAAATGAAAGTACTACGTAACATATTCTCTCTTTAAAATTTCATGAGGAAAACAAATCACACAAAAGGAAGTCCGGAGATCAATTCCTAGGTAAGATACAGATGTTTACGATTAACATTGTTGAAATGGTTATAATACAAATAACGCCATTTTTATAACCTAACCTCCATTTAATTGTGTTAGAAATACTAGAAAATATTGTTTAGGAGTGCACCATTGCACTTCTAATGCATCATTTTCCTTGATTTGACTTGACCTAAATTGCATTTTATAAAAAAACTCACCTGTTAAATTCCAGAGGGTTGTCAGTGTTGTGGTGAAAGTATTATCTACTTTGACCGCTACTACTTTTTCTTTTACAATAGTCAGAAATTTCTTCATAAACTTCTTGTTTGTTCCTATTTTTGTTGTTTCTTCATTTGACATTCGCGTAGCTACATGATGAAAAAAATATAATTAAAGGGATGAATAAATGTTAATACAGACTGGTGATTAGTAAGCCAGGTAATTAGAAATTTAGAAGAAATGAGGCCAAGAAAGACCCCAATCCAATAAAAAATTGCCTCAGCCAATCTTACAGCTTAATCGAACAGATAAAAAGAGATGTTAAAAAAAGTCTTGATTCAAGGATGTTCAATGACTCAATAGATGATTGGCTAAATGGCTGAGCATTTTCCTACCTTCCCTCCTTAATCTATCATCAACCAACAACTTACGGTCTCTGATAACAATGACCAGCAAATGTTTATTTTCTTACTAGCCATAATCGCTCGCTGTGCGAGCTGTCACGCCTGGCCGGGGAGTGCACCTGGACCCCCCGTTCCTTGCTTTGTGATGAACTTGCGACTCGCTCCGCAAGCCACCCCTCATAGCTATTAACTTTTAAATGAATAATAATAATGAGAAGATAACATCTTCGCCACTTTGGCCACGGCCGCCATCTGAGATTTTGAAATTTTGAAAATCTGGACAAAAATGCAAGTTTCCCATCGGAAAAATACCCCCTGATATCAAGTTTCACGAAAATCGATTGAACAGGAGCCGACTTAGCATTTTAGGCCACGGTCGCCACCTTGGATTTTGAAAATCTGACCAAAAATTTGAGTTTCCCGTCGAAAAATACCCCCTATAACCTGAAATTTCGTCTACAATGCTGTGACGTCACGCGACAAGATTGAACCTGTTTGGCACGGTGCTCGTGAACAACCTTGTATCCCCAATGCATTAGTATAAGGGGGTATTAACTCTTCTTCATTTTTGGCTTCAGCAGGATTTTTTTCTAAATTTGATTTTTCAGACATGTAAAGGTGCGGTTCTTGGCTTCATTCTTGCCAAGTTTGAAGGATACTGCTCTGACAGTTTTTTTTTGTATAATGTTGGTGAAATTTTTGCAACTTAGCTTTATATATTTGATGAACTCTTTGCAAAAGGCCACTCACAGTGGCTCATTACACATTGAACATTAATTAACAATTGAAAGTGACCAATCACTGTTAGCAATGACACACTTCCAACACTGAAAATAACATAGGTACGGATACAAAGTAGGGTCTATAATAAATATTCTAGCAGTGATGCACCATTAATATCAAAACTTTAACAATGTAAGTATGTACAAGAAACACAGAAGTTGCCGAAATAACCACTAACATTGGCAAATACAAAATTAGGAAAGAAACAAAATAATTGCATTACTCACCTAAAGTAGCTGCAATGTTCACAGCCATTTTAATTATTAGCTCATTTTTAAAAGTGCACATTGATTCCAAGGCTAATTTACAATACCTACATTTATCAATGCCTTCCAATTCCTGCAAATCAAATAAAAGGAATTTTATTCTAAAATTCACTTCATGGAGAAAAGATAAGAATAAGCTTGTGTACTGTCACACACTTTATGAGAAAAACACTTCATTTCCTGTACGTTCATTTAAAAAGAATTGGGCAACTTTTCAAACTGAAACTAACACCGCAGCACTGCCTCCTTTGGCTAGGAGCTGAACTTTCACATTTGAAGCAACCCCTCTATTTTGATCAGCAGCGGTTAGAAAATAAGAAGTTACTGACAAAAAAAGGTAACTATCGAGCAGATGTGCTCTCTTTCATCCTGAGAGCAACTAAATCATCCTCTGTAGCCTCGTTGGTGAAGACATCCATGCACATATCAGCCTACACAGAGTGACATGAAACTGTCACTGAGGCAAACAATTCCACACTGCACACTCAATACCAACAGGAACTGGACATCTGTGTAATATCCACGCTCGACATTGCTGTCTAGCGTGTATACTCTGTGTTCGGGACCGCAAACGTGGGGTACGCTCGCTGCTCCCCTAGTAGAATTGGTGACATCAACCAGAGTACTGCTGCAAGACCTGCGGAGCTGTTCCCCCACTTCGGTCAGTGGCCACGGCCAAAGCGGGGAGACGTCCGAAAGTTGCAGGAGCTTGCCGAGTCGCTGTTCCTGCGGCTATAAAACGCGTTGCACGGCCCGGCTCACCGGCTCTCTGATCATTTCATTCTTTTCCATTCTTTTCACCCACCATGTAAGTTCTAGGTCTATAGGTCATTTAGTGTTTAGTCTAGTCAGGACTCATGAGCGTTGCCGTGTTTCCGCCCCTTGTATATTTCCATGTTAGCCTTTAGTGTATTGTGAACGTTGCCGCAATTGCCGCATAGTTACCCCAGCATAGGTCTGTTGCACCGAGAGCGCACATCAACACCCTGTATTCACCCTTGTAGAGAGGTTCCTTTTACGTCACTGTCATTACTGTTCATGTACATTTTAGTCATCCATTATAGTTTGTTCATCACCATTTCATTCTTCATTTCATCTCACATCCCCCGAGTTTTAGTATAGAGGTTGGCTCTCTTAGCCGTTTTGCTGGGATAGCCAGCCACCCTCTACATCTGCTCCCTGTCAGTTTGAACCTGTCAAAGGTTGGTACAGCCTTTGACTACTAAACAGCACATGTCCGACATAGTAATGGATGAAGTTGAAAAATACATATCTCTGATTATGACATAGCAAATCTACATTCATGGTTTATTTTGTTTCAAATAAAACTAGTCTGCAGTTTTTCTTGAAATATCTAACACATTCACAGAAAATTTTAAGAAGACATTTAGGTTAGTTTTCTCTTCAAAATACTAGTGCATAATCGGAGATTTTTGGGTGAGATTTTGCAGTGAATAGACTTATTCTTGACTTCAGCTGCCGGTAAGATCCTGATCATAAAACTCTGAATATTCAGTTTCTCTGAAGTTTTTGCAGACAGATTCTCGGTGTAATGGCTTCAAAAGAAAATAATCCGGTGGAACTTACCTCCAGGTATTGTTGCTGGAGAATAATAAGAACATATTTGTGGACTGTCATGTCATTAGGGTACTTTTCTAACAAGTCTAGACACAATTCGACAACTTCCAAGAGCAGATTGGGATGGAAATTGATTGAGGTGCTATGTTTGATCAAGAATGATAAACAATAGACGCTTATTGATTCAACAGCATGGGCTGGATTTTGCTTGATGATCTCTATTATTACCTGCAAGAAGGAGATTGAGAATTGATAGTCACAAGGCTTGTATTTTCAATCATCAAAAATATTTCTATGTACATACAATCAAAACTCAATTCAAACAATAAAACTTGTATTAGGATCCACAGACCTGTCACCATTTTACCCTCACTGCCAAATTTTTAAAGCTTTAATTTACAAAATAAAAATTTAGCTTCATTTTAATTTTGTCAATAGATGCCTTTCAGCAAACAGGATCTGTGAACTGAAACTTTACATAAATGGCTTTTAAATGCGCAAGAGCTGATTAAGAAAGCCAGACATATTTCTTCAAAACTGCACAAATTTTTCTAATCATTTGTTGAAGGGCACCCTAACTCAAAACACTTTTGACATGAACAGGAAAATGAATTGGGGCTTCTACAGGAGCCCCAAACAAGAGAAAAAAACTTTATGGATTTGGTCAAAACATAAACATCGGCAAAACAGTTCCTGTGCACAAGTACCAATACAACATACAACAAACATATATCTAATTTGAGTTAGGTCCAACTATATTGATCCTTAAAGTAGCTGATAGTCAAATATTAGTTACTAATTTAGAGCAATGGAAACCAAGTTTCAAAGAGGTATCGTTACCTGTATTGCAAAAGACAATAATTTATCTGTACTGCCACCAAATATAGAAGAAAATATTTTTTAGACACACCCTGCCAGCAAGGTAAATTATGTTTTACTTAAAATTTCTGTAAAATTAACAAAATAAGATTAAGGGTTTTGCCCAATAACCTGCCATCATATTTAGTCACAGCTCAAATTAAAATTCTCTCCTTTTGATGACAACATTTAAAATTAATAACATAAGAACATGGCAACATGTGAACTTATATATATATGAGTCGCTTTTATAGCGCTCTTTGGCGCTGTGCGACGCCTAATCGCCACAAAGCTCGGTCTTCCCACAGGTCATCAGGGAGTTGACAATCTCTTATCTCATTTAACACCCCCTGTCGCCAACCTCTCACTGGGCGTCCCCTACGTCTCCTCCCAGGAGGAACCCAATCAAGCATCTTTTTTGGCAGCCTCTCTTCCGTCATCCTATTGACATGACCATACCAAACAAGTTGTTTGGTCATGACGTCGAACACGATATCATTTTCGACTTCCATTATCTGACGCACTCTATCATTACGGACCCGATCTCTCCTAGAAATTCCTGCTGACCTTCTCCAGAAATCCATCTCCGTTGCTCTTAGCATATCCTGTGTCCGTTTCTTCAGCTGCCAAACTTCACATCCGTATGTTAATATACTTTTGACTACAGCGTTGTATATCCTCCTCTTGTTATCTTTGGAAATCCGCTGATCCCAGAGGATTCCATTTAACATCGCTATAGCCTTCCTTGCTAAGGTGTTCCTTTCCCTGATAGCTTGATCCGTCCTTCCATCCTGGGTCAACCGCACTCCCAAGTACTTAAAGTGCTCGCAGCCTTTGATCTGCTGCCCATCCTCCAACTCAATGCTTTGCTGATCACCGCCAAAAGTCATCTTCTCAGATTTGGATATGCTGACTTCCAGACCCCACTTCCGATACTCTTCTACTAGCTTGCGCATCATGTATTCCGCGTCATCTTGATCTTGAGCAACCACCACCTGGTCATCAGCAAAGCACAGAGTAAACAGAGTTTCGAGATCACCCAAGGGGACACCCATACCAGAGCATTTCTTTTTCCATTCTTTTAGCACGCACTCGAGATAAATTTTAAATAATGTTGGCGACAAACAACATCCCTGTTTTAAACCCTTAGTCACATAAAATCCCGCTGACAACCCCCCATGGCACTTAACTTTGGTAAAACTCCCTTTATAAAATCGCTTAACAGCGTCAATCAACCCCCCGTTAAAATTCGATTTTTCCAAGGCCTCCCAAAGTTTCACCAACGGCACGCTGTCATACGCCTTCTGGAGATCCACAAAAATTAAATGCAGTTCCTGAGCTACGGCCATTTTCTTGTCAATGACCTGGACAATAACAAAGAGGTGATCTATCGTAGACCTGCCAGCTCTAAAACCAGCCTGCTCCTCTGCTTCGTGATCCTGCCATTCGTCCTCGATCTTCGCTTTCAGTATCTTCCCGTACACTTTGCTTATTGTCCCGGTCACTGAGAGCCCCCGGTAGTTGTTACAGTCGTCCTTCCTTCCCTTCTTTTTGTAGATGGCCTTGATCCAAGACTCCTTCCACTCCCTTGGTACCTCGTCACCCCTGATGCATTGTTGCATCAGTTTTCTGAGGCACTCAAAGAGCTTGGCAGTCCCGTACTTGACCAACTCGACAGGAATCCCACCAGGACCCGGTGCTTTGTCATTAATTAGCTCTTTAACCGCTTTAATTATGTCACAAGTGTGGATCTCCAAGTTGTTCATTCTTCCGTTGTCCGTGCTGTTGTCGCGAAACTCTGGGCGCCTTTCCGTCAAAAGATCTTTAAAATGATCCTCCAGTTTTTTAAGTGATATCGGAGAAACGATGTCGCGCTTCATGTCTCTACGTAAACCTTTAATTAACTTCCAGCTCTCAGCACTTTTTCTCCCCCCTAGGTAGGTGTTAATTCTAGAACAGTTGCTTTCCCAAGCTTCATTCTTCTTCCGTGTTATGAGGCTCCTAACTTTAGACTGAGCTTTCCTGTAAGCAACTTTATCTTCAGTCTTTTTAGACGACAGAAATATAAGGTGTTTTTGCCTCTTAAGATTTATCTCGTCTTCAATTTCTTCATCCCACCAGTAAGGATGCTGGTATTTATTACTGGTTTTGTGAACACCTAGGGCTTCTTTCGCTGCAGAGTGGATACAATCTTTGATGAACTGATATTGCTCTTCCGTGGTACCCGAGAGTCCATCCCCCAGCTTCTCATCTAAGCGTTTCCGATACAGAGCCTTGACACTAGGGTGCTCCAAACTTTCGATGTTATACCATACTTCATGATTTTGCGTTCCCTGACTCTGCTGTTGCTCAGGCATTGGCTCTTTATCTTTAATCCCTTTAACGGGAAACGCTATATCTGCTCGGAGGAAATGATGATCACTGCCGCAAGAGAGTCCCCTGCACACTCTAACTTGCTGCAATTTCAACTTAGTAGTGTGCTTTACAATTACATAATCGATGATGGATTTCAATCCTCGCGTTGGCTGGACCCAGGTATACTTATGGATGTCTTTGTGTTGAAAAAAGCCATTCAAAATTTTCATCTCAGTTTGAGAACAAATTGATATGAGCCGATCACCGTTATCATTAACAGCACCCTCCCCAAACGGTCCAACAACTTTACAGTTTACTCGTCGTCCCGTTCTGCTGTTCAAATCACCCATAAGAATGGCTTCCCTGCCAGCACCAACGTTCAGTATTTCATCATTCAGATCTTCGAAGAATTGGTCCTTACATGCGACAGTGGCATCATCATTTACACCGTATACTCCGAGCAGCGTGATCTTATGTCCGTACAGGTTAAGGTTCATTTTGATGATGCGCTGGTTGACGGCCTCCCAAGTGCCCACGAACTTACGTAGGCTTCTCCGCAAAAGTATTGCTACTCCTTGCTGAGCACGCTGATCTTTGGCTACGCCGCTGTAGAATAGATCATAGTCACCGTAATTCTCTGACCCGTGCCCTTTTTTCTTGGTCTCAGTAAGAACAGCGACATCCACTCCAAGTTTCTGAATCTCCGATATCACTTCCGGTAACTTATTTGAAATGCCTTGGACATTCCACGTCCCAAATACCATTGTCCGTTTTCTCAATTTTTGTCGACGTGTCCGTTTAGTTCTAGTGGTACCGAGGCTTGTATTGTTAGGTCGTTTAACAGTAAAACTTTTTACAAGTACCGGGGAGTTAGCCCGATGACTCAACCCCCAACCTGGAGGACCAGGGTTTGATTTCGGAGTTGCCTCTCCTAGACAGGTTGCTTTCACTTCAGCTCAGAGCCCTGTCTGCCCTTCTAGCAGGTGGTTCATACGCCCAGAGGCCGGTGACCATCTCCACTGCCCCCTTTGAGGCAGGGGCTACCAGCTGGGGTCCGCAGGATTGCTAAACCTGTGACAACAGTCCCCCATACGGCCAACATGTGAACTTACTCTTACGAATTCGGTTCTAACTTCGACACTCTTCATGTTGTACATCACTGCAAAAGTGATTAAATTATAAATGCAGGAATGTATATACTCGGCTCGCATTCTGTACTTGTCTAGAGCCATCAGTATTTGTTCTTGTGAAGCAGTGCCTGCAACCTGCAGAGAAGATAGAATTGAGCACAGTTATGAAGAGGAAGAGAGAGTTTATATATATATATTTATGTGTCATGAAACTAAAAAATCTTATGTCTTGGTTTGTGATACCGCAGACTTCTTACCATATCTTCCTCAAAGGACAACCAAGTATCATTCTTTTAGCCCTTCCAAAGATATTCTCTTGAAAAATGAATTTCCTATTCGCGAAAAATTCTGAAACACCATCACATATGGTTGTTTTACTTTTACCATTGATGCATTGTTCCCAACGGAGCACATGCAGCGAAGTTTTTCAGCCTCACTAATACGTTTTCATATCATCAGCAGACTTGGTTAATTTTTTTTTTCATCATATTTCATTTTTTCAGGGGTCTCATCTATTAAATGTTGAATTTCAACAATTGAAAGTTTAACATTTGAGGCATTTTAATGGCAAGTTCTTTCTTGCTTACATGAGGTAGGATTATGAGTTTCTAAATATACTGCCAACGAAAACATGATTACAGAACTGACTTACCTTCAAATTTGGGTTGAAATCAGGATGGTTTTTATCACGGAGCATAGGTTCGGAACACAGTGAGTCATCAAAGAACAAACCAAGGAACCTCAATTTTGAGTGACTCAGAATGAACTGGCGCATGGCTGATATGCTGATGGCTCGTCTTCCTATAGAGGCAAAGAAACATATTGGTTGATTAAAAATTGTGTTCATAAACAACCCTTGAATTTTAAAACGATGAGATATCTTCAAACAGTGAAAATTCACTTGGAGTTGAAAGATATTTATTCAGCGATATTATCAAAATACATTACACAGATTCTTTGAGATCTTCCTCAATATTTAAATTTTGCTTCACGACCCACAAACCTGACTCAGCGGTACCTGTCACTCTTTGGAAGTTCCGAGTCTCGTTACTTCTGACCGACCTTCTCTCTTACCGTTCTCCATGAAGTCTACACTAGTGAAACTGCTGTAGGATCCATTGAGCTTCGGTGCTCTAATCTTCTCCCATGCTCTTGTGCCATTGCTCAAGATAGCCTTCGGGCCGATCGGACTCAATTCTGAGGGGACTGTTAGCAGCCAGGTAAGGACTGACTCTGATAGGGATGCAGGAGTGAGGTTACGGTTGAAGAGTGCCTCAGGGACATTAGGCGAGGAAGGGAGGAGGGGAGGTGATGGTGATTCAATGTTCAATAGAGCTAGACGTGTGTGGAGTGTGGTTTCCACTTGGAGAGTCACAGCAATACAGTTTACTCCGACCTTGTATCCCCAAAATTACATCTTCAGTTATGGCTGACAGTTGGAAGTTACCATGTGGCCTCTAGCTGGTTGTTACTATTGCCCTGGTATTCAGGTCGGTCAGTTAGCAGTTGCATTTGGAAGTGAGTGCAAAAAAATAAAAGGAAAAAAATAAATAAATAAAAAAATAAAAAAAAGGAGACACAAGTAATAAGTTAAAATGTGGCTCATTTGAGATGATTAAGCGATGGGTCCTAAAACTAAAACAGCACCCTGCCAAAATGTTCCAAATGGAACTGTTGCAAATTTTTGCAGGAACAGAGAGAAGAGTTGTTTATCGAGGATAAAAAGTTGTTCTATGATAACTATCACATTATTCCGAACATTTTGCTGGTTTACTAACTTCAGAAATCATCATTCTATTTAATTGAAATAAGCTGCACTCCAATGAAACAAATGCTTCGGCATTAGAAGGTCAAGCGTATCATTGGGTTCTGTAACCAAATTTGGTAATCAAATCCATTACTAAGTCAGAAATAATTCAATAGCTGATCTACTTCACATTACATCCATCCGCCCACTTTTTCCATGACTAGAAAAATAAATTTCTGGCAACCTGTGCTTTTATGGAACGCAGTGCATTTTTGCAATGCAAACTGTTTACACTATGTTGTTGCATATTGTACATTTTTTTAAAATTTTATCGGCACTACACAAATTATTTGATTAACTTAAAACTTTTTTGAAAACCAATTATACAGCACTTACTTTCTTATTGTTTTTTATGCACTATGGCCATTTCGAGCGGGCAGGCCGCCCATCTTCAGGTGACTGCATTGGTATGGAAAGGTTCAAAAATCTGGCAGCAAACTGTTTAGTTAAAAGTGTCAGTTGATTATCTGACTAAAAAAAATATACCAGTATCAAAAGCTCTGTATTGATAAAATTTTAAAAAATTTGACTGGTTTAAAAAGAAAGTGAAAAAAATCTATGTACTAGAACAGAGTCATACCTGAGACATCAAAAGAAATAATATTTTTCAGCGCGTTAGGATGAGTTAAAATATTTTGCAACATAACAGGTGACTCTACATTGAATTCTGTTGATCCCAGATCAGACATAGTTTCATCTTCCGTAGAAATATCCAGAAATTGTAATTTTGACAGTTGAACTATTGTTTTGTCACAGATCTAAAGGAAAATAAGGAACAAGTATTGCTATTAGTTGCTGGTCTGAATATAAATATGAACATTTAAAACCCAAAAGATGAGAAATTACATTTCTCCATTTGTAACTGCGAACTAACTTTGCACTCCTTCCCTTTTCTAATAGAATCAAGAGGTTTTTAGTCATTGCTTAAAAAAATCATAAAATTAACAATTGGAGTCCCAAGCTTATTTCATCTGCAAGAAAATGTTGCAATTTATTTTGATTAGTGAGGTATATTCAGCACTAATAAAAATGTGTCTCCGTGTAGGCCACATGAATGTTCGTGTAACCTTTATTTCAGATCCATTAATCCTATAATGCAGAAAACACTTTGATTTTGCTATGTTTGAGAAATTACACCAGAGAAAATGTATACTCCCCTCAATACTCTTGAAGTAATAGCATAACATCCAACTCAAGAATGGTCTCAGAATGGATGGCCAACAAATGAACCAATAAAAACAAGCATCATCTAAAGTCATGAAAGATTACTTAAGGGATGGCAGGTAACATGGCCTGGCTAGGTTACGGAGGCAACCTTGGAGAGGACTCATACCTATAAGATGTCCAAAAAGTACCAGCGGGTCGATTGTTGAATCGCTATCGAATGACCTTGATCGATAAAAAGCATTGCTAAGATAGGGATTTATCGATCGTGTTCATTCGATAACGATTCAACAATCGACCCGCAGGACTGATTCTATAATTCAACTACAAAGCTAGCTGGAGGTTTGATCTTGGTTGGTCAAAAATTGGCATAGTTATGATAGATCGAGTAAAAAAAAATTAGGAACCCTATTAATATATGGAGAGAATTTCTCTTGTCGAATGTAAGCTCTAATATTAATGATATCAGTACAGTTTTACAGGACATATTACTAGAAACCCTTTACCTGCTATTACTGTCCAAGGGGGACACTGAAAGGACAGAACTCGATGAGAAATATTGGAGCACATCTAATCATCCCAGACAGAATCGTCCTCCAACCACTGCTCTCAACCCTGCACGCTAGTTGATGTAAGTTCACATTGCAATTGCAGTTTACACAGCAGTTTCTGGGTAGTTTCGGTTTCGTTTTTACGCATATTTTTAGATCAAATGTCATGCTATGAGACACAGGATTGGATAAAATTTTGAGCCATACGATTTCTGGTCGTTTCTACTACGAAAGAAACGTTCAGAGGTTGAAAATTCGAGTCAAAAGAGGAAATCAAGATGAAGGTTCAGAGGTTCTTCACAGCATTTCAACCAGCGGAATGAAAAATAAACATTTTGAACAAGTCCCAAGAAAGGATAGGGAGGTGTATTACATTCAATGGCCGATATTTTGAGAAGGAAAGGGATGATCTCAAGGAGTCAAAAGAAAGTGAGGGTGAATCGTGAGGGGTAACAAAAAATGCTCTCTAAAAACAGAAGGGGGTGGGGTCCCCAGTTCTTTTCTATTTTTTACTCAAACCTTCATAACTTTGCATATTTTTGACCAAATGAGTTGATCTTGGTTTCAATCAAAAGCCTTTAGGTAAGTCGATCTTTAAAATGAAACCAAGATCAGGTCTACAACTAGCGTAGTTTTTGAATGGGCCTGTTGCAAACTTTTGCTAGAGCAGAATGAAGAGTTGTTTCCTGTAGATAATGCCTCAAAAATCACGATGAGCGCATCGGCAAAGTCTGAAATGCACTCATAAATTCACAATCTGCGTAAGAAATTTGCGTTATTTTGAGCTTCCCGCTTCAAAAACGATACTACTGCACAGGTGAACATTTTACTTGAGGGGTCGCTCCATCGTCGGCAATATTCATCATGGCCGACGCTTGCGCAGTTCCTCGCGTAATTCGAGGAGAGTTCAAGGTCAATTAAGGCGGGCGAGGAAAGTATGAACGTAAACACGCCGATTGTTATCTGGTTTAATCCTGTTCAGGTGTTATCTCATCCCATCACACGTGTTTTGGCGGACTGGTGTCGGCCATGATGAGTATTGCCGCCAATGGAACGACTCCTCTAACAAAATGTTCACCTGTACCGTAGTATCGTTTTCGAAGCGGGAAGCTCAAAAAACCGCAAATTTCTTACGCAGATTGTGAAGTTATGAGTGCATTTCAGAGTTTGCCGATGCGCTCATCGTGATTTTTGAGGCATTATCTGTAAGAGACAACTCTTAGTTTTGCTCTAGCAAAAGTTTGCAACAGGCCCATTATAAAATAGTCCGAGTACAATTGTACAGCCTATGCATTAACACAGATCTGCACCTGAAAAATTTGATGTTTTGAATCCTTTTTCATGAGACTTCTTTAATCGTTGCTGAAAGAAAGTAACTTCAAAATAAGAAAAAGGAAACAAGGAGGGAAAAATTGTCAATTGCAATTCAAATTTCTCATTTGCATACTGAGGTCTTAGAGCTTACCGGAAGTTTGTACATCTTGAGGGTCTTCAGAGAGTCCTTCACTTGAACGAGACACCCGATTTTTTTTACTTCAGTTTCAGAGATATCTAATCCTTCCAACAAAGCACAGTCTCTTATCAGAGCTTCCAAATTTAGTGTATTGAAATTAGTCTGACTGACATTACAGTATCGCAAATTCCTCAATGATTTGAAGGATACCGATCTGAAATGGAATCAAGAACAATGAATTAGACATATTTGTAAAAAGCAATTGGATGTATTGCAGGAAAAAAGGAAAATATGCATGTGCCTCCTTTCTCCTTCCAACAACTCATTGAAATCCTTATACATAAGTATCCCCAAAAGAATAATCGCCAACTTTCAGGGTTGTGACTTGATTTCTGTCCGTGGTATGAGAAGGTAGATCGATCAGATCTCCATACTTACTCCTTGGTGGACAAAAGAAGCAGTTATACAACGCTGCTGTGATAAAGAGGAGGACAGTAAGTGTCAAATTTTCGCAATCAAGTTTCCTTCAAAATTCGTCTAATCTCTTTTGAATGAAATCACTGACATAGCTAAAACAGCAAATTTCATCTTAATTTAATGAAAACGAGAAAGAAAATTCGGTGGTTCAAAGAGGGAACAAGTTTGGTAGGAAAAATGAATTTCAGTCTCTTTGAGATTTGTGAAAGAAAGTTCTGAAGCAAGGTGAATAAATTACTTACGAGATGCTCCTAGGTAAGAAAACTGAGCGAGGTACACTTAGGTACCGAAGGTTTTCGCGACTCCATTCTCCAAGCCATTGAATTGTTTCATCAAATTGTAAACTTGATCCGCAAATTTCTAATTCTGTTATCTTGTGACTCATAAGAAATTTGAAATGCTTGCTCTGCGTTCCATCACAATTTGGCAGAATTACTTTCCTGGAGGGAAGAAAATAAGTTGAACAGGTTTAGTTCAATGGACCACTAGAAAGGTACGCATTTAGGCATTCTGATACATGCTCTCTCTTCAAAATTTCAAAGTAATGGTGGATAAAGTAGTAAGTAAGTATATCAGTATTGTTACAAAGTTTGTTATAACAGTATCATAGATAAGATATAAGTTCCCTTTGACATTTCGAAGATGAAAGGAATGATCATTTCTATCCTTTTCATACAAGGGCTTCTTTTGTCCTTGGAATAAAATGGATTGGGTGTCTGCGATTGATAGCGGTTCTTCTGGAGGTTATAGGCTTGACCGCTCCAAAACCACCTCAGAAGAGAGATCCAAGAGTTCCGCTGGAGTGCATGGGATGGATTAGACCATGGCAATAAACTGGGATAGAAAAGTAACTCGGTTCATCACAATTGTCAGCAATTTGGATAAAAGAAAAGCTTTGTACCTATACTCCTAGACTAATTAATTGAGTCTCACCTTAGGCAAGCGTGCTCTACATTGAAGACATTTAAGTATTCTTCAGAAAATTTTCCGTCACGTGAGAGAGATGTGATGAGATGTTCAGCAATTTCACAAGGCAAGTAAAAGTCACTGGATGAAGAAGATGCTTTTAATTTTCTATCACTGTTCCTTTTCCTTTTGACAGGTAAAGGTTTGCTCTGCATGATGAAGATTTCTGCAAATTTCTTTGAGACGACATCTAGACAGAGATGTTTTAGAGTCTTCGGTGAGTTGATCATGGTAAATTTTAACAAAAATTTTTCAGTCAATCCAAAAATGGTGTGGCTACTTCCAGCAGAGGTGGTTTAGATTGAAAATTGTGATCGAGATTTCATGATGGTTACAATGCTCTCATGAAAACCCCAAGATTGCCGCACTGTGGAAAACCTCTTAAACCTAATGGGTTTAGTTAGTGGTCATGCCCTGTTAAAATGATACACGTAGGGACACGATTAAGAGGTACATTGAGAGTGAATAAGAATTGTTTTACTCCAAAAACAAACATGATATCAAACCATGGACATCGCACCATATCCAAGTGAAAAGGAGCGGAGAACATAAAGAACGGAAGAGAAAAATTGACACGGCACTAATTGATGTTTACTTTAATCCTGATTTGGTTGAAACATGAAGGAACATCGAGATGAAGAGCCTTATCATTTTAAATTTTCGACTGAATGTGCTGTACATAATACATTGACGATAAACTATAACCAAAAACAATAATAAAAACAAACTTAACTGAAGTGAGCTACTATAGTTACCTACAAACTTGATGTCCGATGTTTTCGGAACAGGTAGTATTCTAAAAGATCCGGAAAAGATCCGGAACCATCTTAAAACAGCGGAAATCGTTCCGGGATCGATTTTCACGGTTTATTAAATCCTTTTGGAGTCTTTCGTATTAATGAATCGCAGATATTATCTTTTCAGAGCCGATTGGCAGAAAGGATAGCCCGAGGAGAGGCCCGTCGCGATCAGATGATGGCCAGGGAGAGGTGCATAATGCATTAGGGA